GTCTGTTGCCATCAAATTTTTATTTATTGTGGAGGTTGTATGTATTGATTCCATTTTGTCTAGTTATTGAGCATACTGAAATCTGATAATATTGATTTATCTATCTACTTACTTGTCCACTTGTAACCTATATGATCTATTACTTAATTGTAGCATCAAAAGTATTCTTTTAATGTGAATAAAAATTTTAAACAAGTAAACTATCGCTTCATGTTACAGTATAAATTTAAGTAGCCAGTTTGTGCACCTGTAATTTTCTTGTAGTGGGAGGGGGAAGGGCATTCATCTCACAGTGAAGTAAACATGTCTGGCATTTACTATGATTTACACTAGTATTAGTAAAAGTAATTCAAGAGAATTGCAAATTGCATATTTTTATGCATCTGTATTGGGAGGTTAAAAAAAATAATTATGCACATTATCAATCTTCATATATATAGTTAACACATACATTAAAGTATAGCAAAGCAGTGACGTCGCTAGTTCGCACTCCACGCCCGCGCTAAGCCTCTGTAGCAAAGTGTATATATATCCCACTGACAAGCTTTTAAAAATGTAGGGTACCAGCACAGGCGACAATGTCTCAATCACTAGTAAATAGGCTTGAAAGTACTACATGGACTTGTACAACTAATTGAGCTGTAATATGTTGCAAGATATGTATGGCTTGATGACACTGACAGGTGCTTAATAAAAAGCAAAGGATTAATATACCAGTGTGGTTTTTATGTACGAGAGGTTTATGGGGGGGGGGGGGGGGGGGGGGGGTTAGGGCAAGTGTCTAATATCAGAAAGGGATGCTAGTTACGGCGCTTCATGAACAACGAGAGCTTCATTTATGACAGGATTAATCAGATTAATTTCAAACTTTTGCTTGGAGGAGGTGGATCACCTTTATTACAGAAGTAGGTGAGGATGTCAGATTTAGGGAATTTACAAGAGTACCCTAATGTTTGTTAGTAAACCGGTAATAAAATACTTTCTGGCTCTAACACCGATGTAGACTTCATGAACTTTATAAGTAGGTACTAGTTAGTTACACGTCTAGTATATTACTCGTTAACTAAAATAGTGTTGTACATGTTCACCCCCGCAATCTATTTGCCGCTCTAAAAGGCTGAGTTACTCCAATGCCAACTTTCTCAAGTACATCCACTCTGATGCAAGGTAAGATACAAGAATCTGACGAAGAAAAGTTTACTCGTGACCCAGAGAAAAACAAAATTTCGCCTGGTTAGCCTCATTCACTAATATTGATACACTTTAAGCGATTAGCCCCAGAATCCACGATGACAATAGTACAGAAAACAATACCAACGTAAGTCAAAGCTCGGCAAGGTGGGTTGCGACTTCTTTATGATGGTTTAATCAATTTCAGAGAGAACAAATACAAGAACAAAGTTTCTTCCAGGCAGAGTTTCTTCCAGGCAGAGTTTCTTCTAGGCATCTCTTTCACCGCCCCCCCCCCCCCCGAACAAAATGGAATTTATATAGAAAATATATACTTTCGACAGTGTCCGCCCCCCCCCCCCGTCAATTACCCCCTTGTCAATCCCCCCCCCCCCCCCCCCCGGGGAATTACCCCCCCCCCCCTTTCAAGTTAAAATCCTAACTCTAACTAGAATTTTATACCTATATACTACTTTAATCCAAACCTTAAGAAAAAGACCAAAACCTAAGAATCCACCTTAGCCTAAAACTTCACACAAAACCAAAACCAAAGCTAGACACAACCCTAACCCTAAAACTAGCTCTAACACTAACCCTAGCCCTAACCCTAATCTTAACTCTAACCCTAGCCCTAACCCTAATCCTAACCCTAGCCCTAGCCCTAACCCTAACCCTAACCCTAGCCCTAAAACCTAACCCTAACCCTAACCCAAACCCTAACCCTAGCCCTAGCCCTAACCCTAACCCTAGCCCTAAACCTAGCCCTAACCCTAACCCTAACCCTAGCCCTAAAACCTAACCCTAACCCTAACACTAAACCTAGCCCTAACCCTAAACCTAACCCTAGCCCTGAAACCTAACCCTAACCCTAACCCTAACCCTAACCCTAAACCTAGCTCTAACCCTAACTCTAACCCTGTCCGGGGGGGGGGGGGGGGGGGTAATGTCCTACTGGGCGGGGGGTAATTGACAGGGGGGGGTAATTGACAGGGGGGGTAATTACTCTGGGGGGGTAATGTCGGGGGGGGGGGAATATCCAGGGGGTAATTGACAGGGTGGAAATGCCCTGTTCCCGTTGACATACATCTAGTTCTGACAAGATTTTGGAAAAATATCGATGTTATAAGAAAAATTCTACAGCAATTTTAAGGGGGGGGGGGGGGGGGGGGTGGGTTGTAGACTGAGGTTGTGACGTCATTTAGGGGGGGGGGGGTCTTGATTTTTGTGAAGATGTGTGACGGAGGGTAGGGGGAAGCGTGAGGTCATTTATGGATGACCCCTTATTAAAAAATAAAAAGATTTCTAAGTTTAAACTTCGTCGGAGAAATTCAATTTGAACTACAATAATAATCATTTTACAGAAAAATAAAGCACGTGGAAATACCATTTCGGACCTTACAGTAAGTAGGGCATACTTCAAAGAAGAGTTTTCCTGTTTCCGTGACCATTGAAGACCCATAAGAAGTGATAATAATAATGTGGTCGGTTCTATGACCTTTATTAAACATAGTCAGGTACCCATCAGATCTGAGTCAACTCAGATACGTCCTAAGTACTTGATTCTGGGATCTAAACTCAAGACCTACGGATAGCAGTCAAACGCCCAATAACCAACCTTTTTATATAGACAGGTGACAGGAGAGTGGGCCATTTAACATATAGGCTACTCAAGACTTCAAACTAGGCTCAGCTAACCCATCTAAATTTAGATTAGAATTAGAAACCTTGAAAAACACAATTAAAGTTAAATATTGCACTTTGAAATGTTTTTGGGTGCCCGGTCGCAACAAAATGAGACTGATATAAATTAAATTTGTTGAATAATACTGATAAAAAATATAACAACTGTCTTAAAAAAAGAATAAAATAAAATGACTATCTTTAAACACAATAATTAATGCACCACATTTTATATAAACCAAATATATATATAATATAAATAGAGCATGGATCGCTGTATATTATGCATGGGAGAAGGGTGTATATATAGTCACGAACAGTTATGTAAATATGGTGCAATATTATGTTTAAAGCTAATAATTTTTTGTCATTATGTTTTAGTTCTAGATCTACATCTTTTTAGTAAGTAAAGTAAAGTTTCCCTTTCAAACCTGACGGTCTATGGGGCAAGTGAAGTAGAGTCAGGGGCGTAGCGAGGGGGGGGGCAGGGGTGCGGACCGCACCGGGTGACACCATTTAGGGGGGTAACACCAAGGCAAAAAATAGCAAAATATATAGAGAAAAACTTGAGGGGGGGGGGTGCAAATCGAAAACTTGAAAGTTTGTCCCCGGGGAGGGTCTCAACGCCTCTGGTTGGGTGACACCATTAAGTGCCGCACCGGGTGACACCCGACCTCGCTACGCCACTGAGTAGAGTTCACTTGTTTCTGTGACCTCGGCATATGAAGAGATAGTGTGGTCAGCACTATGCCCAGCCGCCTTTACTTTCCCTAACGTGAGTTAGGTACCCATCAGAGTTGGGTGGACTCAGGGACTCTACTGACTTGAACCCGGATTCGAACTCTACCGCTAGACCACTCCGTCCCATACATCTTTATAGTGCACGCATATATTTTGTTACTATTTACGTTTTTCTTTTTTTAAAAAGGCTTATATTTATTATATATAGGCCTTAAATTATAAGTAAGTGTGCACTATAGGCCATAGAAATATTTAATTAATTTTAAAAAGGAACGAAACTCCTCTAATTATGTCAAAGTTCGTGGCACATTGCATTATCAGATCTAACCTAAGTGACATTCAAGTTTAACCCCATCGGTTCGGGTATAATTTTGTTTTTTGTTAGCAAAGTTTCCACCCAGGCCAGTGTTTCTTCCAGACTTTTTTCACCTGGGGGGGGGGGGGGGGGGGAAGCGGACACTGTTAAAAGAATGTTTTTTTTATATAAAATCCATTAAATCCCCCCCCCCCCCCCCCAGAAAGATATGCCTGAAAGAAACTCTGACTCAGACATGAGAGAAATAGCACGAGCAATCAAGTTAAATAAAAGCTTGTAAAAATGCCATTAACTGAGTTTTTAAATGACGATTTCAGTTTTTGTAAATTCAAAAACGAAGGAATATAAAATTTTATTTGTTTTAGTAATTTTTTGTTTCGGTTCTTGTTTTAGACATTTTTTTCCCTTATAATAATCGAGTATTAACACGTACGATTATTTTGTAACACCGATTTACGTTGCGATTATTTTTTTTTTAATACACAAAATTACATATTGTATTTGTGATATATTTTGAAGAAATCAAAAACGTTTGTAACTATAATCAATATCTAATATTTTAAATAGCAAAAAATAATTTCGACAGTACGGACAATACTAAAATTTTTCTACTTTCGTTTCGACACTACGGGCTAGACCCCTCATTTACTATAGTAGCCATCTTGTTTAAGTTCTTTCTTTGTTAACTTATAGCGCGAGATCAGGGGAAGGCAACTCTATTTTACAAATGGCTGCTGTTTATATAGGAAATCCTGCTCGCAAACACTGCTGTTAAAAGTTAATTTCTTGCCTATATTGATATATTTAGCTATTGATTTAGGTTATTTATTCATTTATCTATAATATTTGACACAAAGATATCAAAATATACTTCTATTAAAGCCTTGACAATGAGGTAACTTTTTCGTACATTACTAGCCGCGGGCGATTTTACGTACCCAAAACGATAGATTAGTCTAGCTAGATGTTGAAGGAAGATGCATTAGATTATTACATAAGCTAAACTTAGCAACGTTTCGTTTTATTGGAAACTAGACAAAGATTGACCTAGTGGCTAATAGATCTAGTTGTCATAGTAATTTAAAATACTTACTTTACTTTTTTTACATTTACTTTTTTTTTACGAATAAACTCGTCTAGGGAAAGATCAGCCATTTTAACACCGACGTAACCAGGGAGAAAATAGATTTAATTTCATTTAAAAAATAAACGTAATCGATATTTATTCGTTTAAATTTTAAAACTGTCCAGGTAAGTTAGATCTATAGATCTAATAATATACAAAAATTTTTTTAATATTATCAAATCTAAAAGACAGCTAGCGGTTATATACTTAAATTGACCAAAACAGTTCTAAACAAATAAAAATAAATTATAGCTGATATGATATATGAACATGGAAAAAAACAAATACCAACCGGCATACAGTCAGATATTTCGCCGAAAAGTAATGTATTTACATTTTCATTACTGGTAAAATAAATTATTGTTCGGCCTATTCGGGTCTGTTGCTTGTAAATCAGTGTAAATAGTATATTTTAAATCGGATTCAGGAAAATTCATCCCTTTAACCTTGACTTACTCTTTTTATACTTTGCTACACGCATTTTGATTTGGCGTTCCATCTTACACATATGCACAGGTCAAAATGTAATCAATCGCTTGTTGTACCCAAGGCGATTAAAATTAATAAAATATTCAAACTTACACAACAGTGCGGTAATGGGGTCCGCAGAATAAACAATAGTTGTCATAATTGCACCAAGCCTCTGTTACCAATTTTATTCACATCGCCTATCGTCAAAGAATGTATTAAATGGCTAGGTTTCCTTTAAAAAATTCATACACCACAGACATTTTTCCTCTAAATAATCAAATTGCGTCAAAAATGCTTTTCATTTATTTTTGCCTCTGATAGTTTCAAAATGCGTGTAACGTGATACCCTCACCAACCCCCCAATAAGTCAGTCACATCAGGTTGCATAATTTATTGATTAATTTGTGTGGTCCATAAATGATGTCACGCTTTTGGCCGATTTTAACCTTCACTCATCGTCACATTCAGGGGTGGGACTACGTTATAAGATCCCATGACAGAACAGGTTGCATCGTGTATATTAGTATTACCAGTGGCGTAGCGAGGTCGGGTGTCACCCGTTGCGGCAATTAATGGTGTCACCCCCTCAGAGGCGTAGCGACTCTTCCCGGGGACAAACTTTCAATTTTCGATTTGCACCCCCCCCCCCCCCGCTCAATTTTTTCTCTATATATATTTTACTATTTTTTGCCTTGGTGTAACCCCCCTAAATGGTGTCACCCAGTGCGGTCCGCACCCCCGCCCACCCCCCTCGCTACGCCTCTGAGTATTACTATACTGGGACACTGTCATCTGGTGCCTTGTCATGGCTTGGCAGCTTGTGTACCTCGGCGTACGACCCCCAGAGCGGGAGTGTAAACTCCTGGCAGGTTCAACCAAGCTGGGAAGGTTTGCGCGGGTAGGGGTCAGACGAAATCTAGCACCCCGGTCCTCCAGGTTGGGAGTTAAGCATAATGTCAGCAACATTATCGTAAAAAAATAACTTGCTACAGAAACGCCTGGGATGGAGAATTTATGAAGCCGGGTGGTGAAAGCCAATATGTATTGGAAACTACCAGGTCGACCACCATTATTTCCACCAGGTCCACAATCAATATTGGAGCTTGGAATGTCCGCACAATGTATGAAGCTGGAAAAGCAACACAAGTAGCCGCTATAAAATAGCTATCCTGTGTATTAGCGAGTCAAAGTGGACTGGCTCAGGACAAAAAAGACTAATAACAGGAGAGCTACTGCTGTTCTCAGGCCACGAGGATGAAAACAAACCAAGCACAAAGGACTCTCATTGGATTGGAGGCACACTGCCCGCGGATCATAACAACCACCTTTAAAACTAAAATAAGACGAATAAACATGGATATAATACAGGCCTACGCCCCAACAAATGACAGCAAAGAAGAGGACAAAGATGAATTCTACAACAGACTAATGACCATTATCCAGAATCGCCCAAGAAGAAACATCCTTATACTCATGGGCGACTTAATTAATGCTTTAGATTGGAAGCAACAATAGATGATATGAAGAATGTATGGGACAGCAGGGTTTATGTGAGATGAACGAAATCGGAGAACAATTTGCTGACTTGTGAGCCACAAGTAATTTAGTAATTGGGGGGAGCCTCTTTTATCACTAAAGGATACATAAAACTACCCTGGTATCACCCGACTTGTCTACAGAAAACCAGATAGACCATATATGTATTTTTAAAAGTTCAGGAGATCGCTTCGAAATGTACGTGTCGATGAGTTGATGTTGCTTCAGACCATCACCTACTTGTTGCTAAATTAAAACTCAAGCTGAAGAAAACATGTTGGAAAACAAAAGGAAATACAGGTATAAAACTGGCCTACTTAAGGACCCCTCTAAACTAAAGGAATGTAAGTTCCATATTTCCAATAAGTTTCAGGTCCTGCAAGAGCTAACAGAGGAAGAGACGATTGAGGAAAAATGGGGAAAAACTAAAAATATATTTACGTCAACATGACACGTGTAGAAGTGCAAGGCCCTATCAAAGGGCAAAGTATGGAGAGAAAATGGAAGAAGGCGACATTAAACAACAGTCGTACACGGGCAGCTAAATTAAAAGCCCTGGAAAAATACACTAAAACAAACAAAAGTGTCAAGAAATGCATAAGAAAAGACAAACGGAGTTATTTAGAACTGCTGGCAAGGGAAGTAGAAGAAGCACTGTACCATGAGAATATTAGGGACGTGTACAAAACAATTAAGATTATATCTGGGAAGTTCAGTAAGCCAGAGAGGCTAGTGAAGACCACAGATGGAAAAAATAATACCTGATTGTTGAGACACTATGGGGTGCCACAGAAAATAGTCAACATTATTATGTCTTCATATAAAGGTCTGAAATGTAGAATAGTGCATGGTCAACAGACTAGGGAGGCCTTCCCAGTACGGACCGGAGTAAGGCAGGGTTGCCTAGTTTCACCATTACTGTTCCTGCTGGCCATAGACTGGATTATGAAGATGTCAGCAGAGAAAAAGCGGAACGGTATACAGTGGACACTGTGGAGCCAGCTGGATGACCTGGACTTTGATGACGACTTGGCCCTTCTTTCTCACACACAACAGCAAATGCAAGATAAAACCAAAACAACAGTGTTGTAGTTTTTCTACAAAGGGAAAAGTAAAGTTCTCTAAGTCAATGCCTCATGCAGCACCCCTATAACACTGGCAGGAGAAGCCCTAGAAGAAGTGGATATCTTCACCTACCTTGGAAGTATTGTTGATAAGCAGGGCAGGAGAGAAACAGATATACAAATAAGGCAAGAGCAGTCTTCAACTAACTAAAAAATGTTTGGAGTTCTGGAGATTCAACCCTTGGAATAAAAATCCGGGTCTTCAACACACTAGTAAAACCTGTTTTACTCTATGGAGCTGAGTCATGGAGAATAACTGCTATAAATAAGGGAGAAAATACAATCATTTATAAACTCACGCTTCAAAACGATCCTGCTAATTCGCTGGCCTAAAACCCTCAGAAATGATGTTCTATGGCAACGGACAAATCAACTGCCAGCTGAAGTAGAGATCCTCCAGAGAAAATGGAAATGGATTGGCCACACACTCAGGAAGCCTGTATCCAGCATAACAAGACAGGCCCTCACCTGGAATCCAAAAGGCAGGAGGAGGAGAGGCATACCAAGAAAGACCTGGAGACGTGACCTGGAAGAAGACACCAAGAAGATCGGATACACCAGGGGACAGTTGGAGAGACTAGCCCAGAACATAGACACATGGAAAGCTCTCGTCAGCGTTCTGTGTCCGACAGGCAAACCTAACCTAACTGGGACAACGTTCCGACTAAAGAGAGATACAGATCTTGATGAACTATGCATCACTCAACGACAAATTTGCAATGATCGCAAAATTACCACCAGGAAAATATATTTAGAATTCAGATTAGGTCTACCTATTTCTATGCAATAAAGATTAAATGGGCTGTTTATATGTTGATGGAACACGTGCATAGCAAAAAAAAAAAAAAAACTCTACTTGATCAGCGTTTTTTAATATTATTAAGTTTTTATTTTACAAAATCAACCTACATTTATATAATTATCATTCACAAAAATTATAATTTCATCGGAAAAAACAGTACAAATGACTTTCATCAACGTGGTATTAATAACTATAATTACATTGTAATCAATTTAAATTTGTGGTTTTGTTGTGTTTGTGTGTATGTTTGAGGTTGTGGTGAGTGTTAGGATATGTTTATGTTTTTGTTTGTGTTTTTAGGCGTAGAAGTGCAGGGAGTGACGTTTCTATTTATGTTTATGTTGTTGTTATTTTAGGTTGAGGTGAGGGTTGTTTAATTTGTGTGTTTATGCTAGTGTTTATATTTATGTTTGGTTTGTCTTTATGTGGCTCTTTTGTTAGACGTAGATATAAGGGGAGTGGAGGGGGTTTATTTTTATGTTTGTATTTGTGTTTGATTGCAGTGAGGGTTGGTTTATGTTTATACTTATTTGTGTTTGTTTGGTTTGTCTTTATGTTTAAGTTTGTACTTTCGTTTGAGGTTGTGGTGAGGGTTAGGGTTTATGTTTGTGTTAGACTAAGAAGTGCGGGGAGGGGGTTTGTGGTGGTTGTGATAAGAGTTTTTATAGGTTTAAAGTTTAAAGTTAGGTTTAGCGTTAATTTATATCTACTTTCTTAAATGTCGATATATGCATATAGATATTTAATTGGAAATTTAAAATATTCCCAAAAACCCGTGCAGAGCCGGGTATATGACGCTAAATAAAGACATAAATCAAGGTCTCTTACAGATCCCCCCCCCCCCCAAAAAACACACAAGCCAGTGTGGAGCCTGGCCGGTACGGCTACTCCTAGCTCGGCTCTAAGTTATTACGCCATCTAGCGATTGTTTACTACTAACAACCAAGAGAGGCTTCCATTGGACAGTTTGAACCAGCCGCTGTGGACGTCCGGTATTTATGAAAGCTGAAGAAGTTCAAGCGAAATTTAGATCAAGTTAGGGTAAGCCTCGTGTTTCACACAAAATTAATGTCTAAATAAGTTAGTTATCAGTTCTGTACCCTATAGATTAGATTCTTGATTATTTTTACTGCATAGATCTAGAATTCTAGATTATTCACTATTCATAGAGTCTAGATCTAGAATTCTGAATGGAGGCGAGCGAGTTGACGAGATTCCTTCCATAATGTTGTTGTCATGGAATAAAAACGTGCTTTTTAGATTTAGACCGTAAAAAAAAATAAAAAATAAAAACTTAAGCCTAAAATTAATTTAGAAATTTTATATTCTTAGAATAAATGCTATAAAAGTTGCAAATCCAGAGAACTTGAAAATAATTTGTTGAGTTTAAGGCTACATTTCTATTTATTTTCATCAAGCCTAAGTTATAACCGGATGTTTCACTTTCGTAAGACAAATATTGATTGGCTGTACAGTAACTTAGTAATCGATAACTATTTGTTTACAAAACTTTGCAGATCAAGTTTTTAAATTACAATGCAAATTTAAAACCCCATGACCTAGTTTTCTATTTTTAGCTTACAATGTGTACAATAAAATCTATGGCAGCCTATCCAATAGCAGGATGCCATGTTTATGTCGCCATTACACGTGAAAACCAAATTGTTTTTGCTTTTTTTAAAAATTTTATTTAGTTACCGAAAATATTATAAACATCAAATACATCCAATCTTTAGTAAAGTCCGAAAAAAACCAGACAGGCAGGATTTTATAACCATATTAATTGTAAATATGCTGTGCATGATTTTTTAATGAATTTATACACCTCTCAAATAGTGACTTTTCTCGCTGGTGTCCATTGTTGGTCTATTCACTCATCACTGGTCTCACTCTATTGGATTGGATTATTTTAGAGTTTTTAGACAGACACATTTTAGAATCTAATCTAGATCTAGATCTAGACTTCAGTTTAAATTTTAGATAAATCTACTGATGTCCGATAAAAAATAGATTCATTTATTTGACTCGTTAGGCCTATTATTAGTATATTATTACTAAATTTATTACTAGACTTCTAGATCTAGGTGTGGTGCTGGGTTGTAAAATGGGGGGAGGTTGAGATTGTGTGACGTTGCTTACTAGATCTAGAAATCTAATACTTTTTGCATTAAATAAAAAAGGCAATGTTAGAAAACGAGTTTTAGTCGTTATTTCGCGTTTAGTAAAACGGTTTTAATAAATTGTGATAGGAATGATCAAAATACTCTATGATGACTATGATGTCCTTATGTTGACAGAGTTCTGACAAGATTTTGGAAAAAATATCGATGTTTTAAGAAAAATTCAACAGCATTTTGAGGGGGGGGTTGTAGGCTGAGGTGTGACGTCATTTTAGGAGGGGGGGGGGTCTGGCTTTTTGTGACAACAGTGTGACGAAGGGGAGGTGGGAGGTAAAAATCTTCAAAAAAAGCTTGACTTCCTTTATGGATGACCCCTAGATTCTAGATCTAAATCTAAAAATTGTATTAGGTATTGTAATCCTGACTAATTTTATGGCTAGAAATTAGAGTAGTAGGACTAGTCACTGATTAGCGGGTAAAACTCCATTTTAGTGTATTTTGTTCCCCATTTTACGTTCACCTCCTGTTGGGCGTAATTTATTATAAACACAACCGTTTGTTGTTTTGGTTGTGTTTATAATAAAATACGCTCAACCGGAGTTGAATGTGACAGAAGTGGGGAATAAAATGAGCTAAAATGGAGTTTTACCTAATTCCCAACGTAAAATCTGTGGAGATCTAGTTGATTTATAGTAATGTGAAAAAAGGTGACTCATTCTAAATTTTATTAGATCTAGATACCTATAGAACTATAGATCTAAATTCTATAGGCCTATCGTTTTACATTTTTATGAGGATTTGTTTTGAAAGTTACAAAAATGTTTGATTCATGTACTACCTGTTTTTAAACAGTTGTGTTAAAACTTTTGGATAATTTTAGACACTGATGTCCGATAATTGACTCTTCCATAAAATAAAATAGGTGTATTGGGTTGTTAGTAGTACTGTAATCTAGGGTTAGGCGTATGGTAGGGTTAGGGACAGGGTTAGCATTGACGTTAGCCAGCAATGTGTGTATTTAGTTAACTACCATTAACCTAACACCCCTTTTTTAAAGAAGATTCTATTATCGCACACTGGTATAAAAATTCTCCCAAACTTTTTCGAGGCCTAATAAAAAAATCTAGCTTTTGTCATTTAGCAGCCATCTTAAGTTTTTTTTTGTAAACTTATAGTTAGTGATTCAGGGGAAATCACTCTAATTTACAGATAACTGCTGTTTATATAGCAAATCTTGCTCACAAACACTGCTCTTTAAAGTTAACTTCTGGCCTATACTAATATATTTAGCCATTACTTTTGTCTATTAATCAGTTATCTATATTTGACACATAGGCCTCTATATTATTAATATATATCACAATATTGCCTACTTCTACTGTTAAAGCCTTAACAATGAAACAACCTTTTTTCACATTACTAGCCTCAATACATTTTTACACACCTAAAATAATAGATTGCTAATTCTAGATCTAGACTAGCTAGAAGATAGATCCATCTAGATTCTAGATATCTACCCAGATTAGATCTAGCTGCAGGCTATTTTATTTTACTTTAGTAATTTAATTTTGTCTTATTTGTGACATGATTTAAGAATGTAGATCTATATCTATGAATGTATCTATGTACTGAACTATGTGAGATGATGCCATTGCCAGCTGAGCTATAGGATGCCTTTAACTTAGGCTTATTTGTTATTTATTCTCATTGGAAGTAGATTTAGTAAAGGAATAGATCTATTTGATAGCAAGAAAGATATATTATCTAAAAATTGGCTTTCTGTCAATATTTAGGAGCCTAATAGTAAATAAGGGTGTCATGCCTCTCAAATTGACTTCATTATTTTTTTGTCCTTTTTTTTTTCTTGTACTCATTAGACTTGTATAATTCTATTGCCAACATGCTTTAGCATCTATGTGCTAAGTTTTATCTCTATATCATCAGTAACAACATAGATGTGCAGTTAGAAATGTGACCTGTTGCAATCACAATACCCCTTAATTATAATGGGCTACTTCTTGTAATTCTATTTGATCATCCTGTGATAATTTGAAACATTTTACCAAAGATCTAGATCTAGAATTCTAGTGTGGTAATAGACTAGGTAATTTAGTTAATTTAGTAGGTTGTCTTATAAATGTAGGCCATCTGGTACTACCTATTTTTTAATACTTTGACTTTACGAAATCTAGATTCTAGATTAAAATGCAGTTGGAGGTCAACTAGAGAATCTAAGTGACTAGATATCTAAATCTCTATTTTTTAATTTAGCGTCATTCATGGTCAAGAAATTAGACCATCAATAACAGATCTAAAAACTAGATTTAGGTGTGAGGTGTCTAATAAAAAAAAAAGGGGGGAAGTATTATTTAAATTTGAAAAAAATTCCAATGACAATTATTCTACTTATTCCTACAGCTTCTTTTATTTGTGTTTTTATTTCTTCAGATAAACATTAGAGAAACATGGATGAGTATTCAAAAATTGAAAAAATTGGAGAAGGTATGCTGTGCTTACTTGTGTAGATCTATTTGCTATTGTTAACAGTAGTTGTATACTTTGTGCCTGAAAATTCAACTTGATTAGGCCTACATGTAATTTACACTCCATTAGAATTTTAATTTTTGAACAAAATGATGTAGCATCAGTCACAAAATATTTTTATCATTTGATTTTGTAGCTTTTTATAAAAGGTTTATTTCTTCTTAGGTACATACGGTGTAGTTTACAAAGGTAGACATAAGAAAAGTAACAGACTTGTAGCTCTAAAAAAGATCAGATTGGAGTCTGAGGAAGAGGGGGTCCCATCCACCGCAATAAGGGAGATTTCTTTGCTAAAAGAGCTGCAACACCCAAACATTGTGTCGTAAGTCATTACTTCAAATAGATTCTATTTAATTGATGGGGCAGTGGTTTGTTAAATGCATAAAATTACAAGTTTTAAAATCCTGGTACGTAACTAAGATAAATAAAATCAAACTAATAAAGAGGTGGATAAACCTGGTTTTATTGATGGATAAGTACACTGGAGTTCTTGCCTACCTAGTCATTGATATAGTTTGCTTTTTTTTTATTATTATTTAAGCTTGGAAGATGTGCTGATGCAAGAAAATAAACTTTATTTGGTCTTTGAATTTCTTTCAATGGATTTGAAAAAGTACCTAGACAGCATTCCACCCGGAAATTTTATGGATCCAATGCTTGTGAAGGTATTATTCAATTAAACATACTAGATTTGAAATAGTTTCACCCAAAAATTGTATGAGTGTTTGGTTATTCAACTTCTTTGTTTTGCTTTTAGCCATAATTTATGGATCCTATTTTTACTCATCCTACATGTTTTTGAGTGGTGAAAATTCTGTCCAACAGAGCTATCTGTACCAGATCACAGAAGGCATTTTGTTTTGTCATAAACGAAGAGTGCTTCACAGAGATCTTAAGCCGCAGAACCTACTTATTAATGATAATGGTGTGATAAAACTTGCTGACTTTGGTCTTGCTAGGGCCTTTGGTATTCCTGTTAGAGTCTACACTCATGAGGTATTTTTATTTTAATAGAAAACCCATTGTTACTAGTACAAAATTGTGTTCTGCACATGCTATAATTTGCCCATCTTTACTAGGGCTCAAACAAATTCTATTATTTGCAAATTTTTCCTAAATTACAGGTTGTAACTTTATGGTACAGAGCACCAGAAATTTTGTTGGGTTCTCAACGATATTCGGTACCAGCTGATATTTGGAGCATAGGTTGTATATTTGCTGAAATGGTCACAAGGCGTCCGTTGTTCCATGGAGATTCAGAAATTGATCAGCTCTTCCGCATTTTCAGGTAGCGATTTTTATATTAATCATTGGGCTAAAAAAAATATACATATTTATTTGATAAATTATAACCCTATTAAAACATTTTTGCTACCATTTACCCTCTGAACTTTTAGAACCCTAACAACACCAACTGAAGAAAGTTGGCCTGGTGTTTCACAACTCCCAGACTTCAAACCATCTTTTCCTCATTGGAAAACAAATCAATTGGCATCAAGTGTCAAACAACTTGATCGTTTGGGTTTAGAACTTTTACAGGTATGTCAATTGTTTAGATTTTCACTTGAAAGCAAGTAGTATTTCTGTGTTCAACAAATAAAAATGTCCACGAAATCTTACATTTATAGTTCCTGTGGCTTAAATTTTAAACAACAAAGACTGCAGCTTGTAATTGAAAAAAAATATTTACTTTAATAACAAAAATTTATACCTATTTATTCTATGTTGTCATTTATTTTGTTTTAGTTTAATTGTAACTAATTCTAAAACGAAATGTTTTTAACAAATCATAGGCCCCCACCCGTTTCCTCAATTCTTAACTTACTTACCACTACTGCTTTTTGAAACTAAACTTTTTATATAGATGAACGCCAAAATTTCACTGTACACAAAATATGTACCATACATTTGAGACATTTAATTTTTTATTATGCTTCTTTTTTTCCAACAAAAAATTTTCTTTTGTAGGAAATGTTAATATATGACCCTGCACAAAGAATACCTGCAAAAGATATCCTTGAACATCCATATTTTGAAGATTTGGATAAAATGACGCTTCCTGCAAGAAACTTTACGCCAATGGAGATGTATGATTGAACTGTATGAATGTGGAGTTTAAAAAAAGCATACTGATGAACGTTTCCTTCTCTACAATCCACCAACATTGTGTGAACAGTCTTGTCTGTATTAACTTGTCATGTTTTTATTATCTAGATCTACTTGTAAATATGTTACTCTACATACTTTATATTACTCTCATCTGTATCAGTGCAGTATAGTACATGGTCCTCTTGTCTTTTCAATCTCTGCTTCACCATCACCAATTACATTTCTTGCATTCATTAACATTTATGTCTTTCACTGTACATCAGTTTTAAGATCAATATTACTTGTTTCATTAAATTAGTTTGGGAAAAGTTCATTATCAATTTCATGTACGATATTGTAAATTGATTTCATTAAAATGTCGAGCCACTTGTTTCTCCCTTATTTATCATTTTTTGAAAGTACACAAAAAAATTCTACGAGAGTTCATACAGGATTTGAACATAGGCCGACAGGAAATAATGCTGACATCTCAAAGGCCAATAAGTTTTATAAAACAACAAAATACAATCAAACATGTTAATATTTATTAAAAACCAGCTACATAATATGATGGATACAAATACAAGTCTACTGTTCAGCTTTTGACTGTTTTTAGATGGTTGACTTACCTTGCTAAGAGCTATGAATGACAGTGACCGTGGTTTCCCAATAGAGTTGTACTTACAAGACACTCCCGAAACCTCCATTCGCTTGGACCCAATAGTTCACCTTTTAAGGATAGCAACTAACAGTCTCCTCTTGAACTTATTTCATTCATGCAGGCAGTCCTTGGCCTCATTCTTCTATGGTTGCCTAGATAGGAGCTATGTAGTAATGTAACAAATTTTGCTGTATTATTTTTTGGTCTGCCTTTTGTCCTACACCTGTCTAACATATCTTATTTTTATTGGGATTTTGGTTAAAGCAGTTCCCAAACAATTGGAGTTGCCATCCTTTAATTTAACCCTCCTACCTCATAAAATATGAGTGAACTAGGGTTGCAGTCACCAACTAATGAGCCACATCTGCCACAGGGTATGAACAATTCTGGTTAGCAACCATGTGCTTTACCAGGTTGACCACACTGACTCCAAACATACATAATATTACTTAAATGAATTTAAAACAACTGAACCAAAGAACTTGTATTGAATAATAATATATATTTATATTATTATAGCACTGTCAAGGTAAAGAATAATCTAATAAATGAAAGACTTAGTTGGAAAGGATTAAAGGCACAGTATGAGAAAATACAGAGCAAAATTGACATCAACTACATTATCACCAGTTTTTCACCACTATTTAATCATTTTACATTAAGAAGTAGACCCACACTTGTGTGAATTTTTTACAATGTTCAATTAAAATCATGTTAGATCTATTTTTTAACACCTCACACACACACCACAAAAAAATAAAAACAATTATGCATTTAAACTTCACTGGGATAAAGTATGGGGAAAATACACAAAGTTTTTTTTTATAAATAGCATTAGGTAATTTAGAATTAAAACTAATGGTTTTAATTATAAGTGCAGTCTTAATTAGATTTAAATTTTTATTTAAATAAATATTTAGCCTGTTAAGAAAATGAGATCATTTTAAAAAATACAGTCTACCAGTAAATAAAATCACCTATCAATTTTTGCATTGTATAGTACAAGTAATCTGCATACATTTTCATAAACGCAAAAGTTTATTCCAGAAACTAAAGCTGCTTTTAATAAACTTGGATAAAGTCCTTTGAATAAACTACGAATACCCTCTTCCTGAATTGAAAGTATCACACAATGAATTAGACCATTATAATTTCGCACCACACCAAAGAACTTCCGCGCTTCTTCAAAACCTTGAACCTGTAAACGTTTTTTTACAACATCTAAAGGGTAGATCATCAATTTTGAGAGAGCACCAGATCCTGATCCACATACAATCGCTTCAAGAGATTCTGAAAATAGTAAAGAATCTATTACAACCCATGTCAGATGCCTGTCTTGTCAGCATATGGAGCCTGAAGATTTGCTGGCATTTTTCTCTCAAGGCCAACAAACAAGTAAACAAGGGGAAAATATTGAATTTTTTAAAAGGTTTAATTATAACTGTTTCCAACCATTATTGGAAAAGTTAAATAAATTACTTTAAACCATTAACTTAAGATTGAAAGGTTAATTGTGTTGTTGAATTGAAAGAAAGCTGCAGCCTTGTACACATACTTGACACCCATTAAAGAGGGGAGTGCCTCTGTCAATGTGAACAGTAGGGGACTGATCAGGAAGCATTTATATTACTGATATGCATGCAAAGCTCTGTAACACACTATCATTGAATTTGTATATTAGAATATATACCCAAATAAATATCAAGATGGCCATGGCCACACAGGTTAGAATACAAAAGACTAACTAAACTAAACAAAAAGTTAACATTTAACGTTTTATTTTTTAATAATAATATGGAAATGGAAGCAGTTTCCAAAATAAGCAAAAAATGTAGATGGGGCACATTTTAAGAATCGCCACTCCAACCATTTAAGTACACTAACATGTCCCACACTTCTCAGAAAAATTGTAGTTTACCTGCTTGTCTTGTGGGCAAGATACCCAAAGATTTGTTCCATAGTCCTGTAAATAACGAATAAAACCCAAACTGAAAGCCCATTTGAGGTCCTATCTGAATCAATGAAGGTATTAATCCACGATAAAAGCCCCCAATTCCCTCCTTCCTCATTATTGATGTAACAGCATGTGTCAGACTGATGTAAAGCTGAAAGTGCAGAAAATATTTTATCTAGCAGCAGCTATATTTAGCTTTTAAAAAAAGATAGAATATAGATTCTCATCTATTAATTACTTTGCATTTTTTAGTTTCTAATGTACATTAGAAGTATACACCAAATGACAGAGTAGCAAGGTTAAAAATTAAAATTGTAAAAGAAAAACCATATGATCAACAAAATACAGTTCCCAATAATTCATTAATGTGAAAATCAACTTTCCAGGAGAGTACTAGTATACAAGAAACAATTTTATGTTAAAGGTATAACAATAGTAACATACTTTAGGCTCTCCTTGGGCAACAAATCTGGTCCTAATAACATCTATTGGAAAAATAAAAGCAGTTGCCAAGCTGCCACTTATTCCGCCACACACAGTATGAGTAATGGGTCTGTAAGTTGTAGTAAGTGCTTCTGGCAGGTACTGCCAAATGCCTTTAGTCAAAATTTCAAAACTTGAATACTGTAAATAAATTAATGTCAATCCATTGTAAAATTAAAGTACAGGTTAACAGTATCTTTTTCTAATTGTAAAAATCCTAGTAAAGTTACACAAATTAGTCAACAGTGAAAAAAAAAATGCATCACATAGCAATGTTATCACCACTGTGACTATCAAATCTTAAAACAAGGAAAATAACCTGTGCAACTCCATAGACAACAGACAATATTTGTGCTGGGATGTGACCTTTCCACAATGCTGCAGTTCCTTCTTCCTTTATAATGCACTGAAAAGCTTGCACCAGTCCTTTATACTTTGATTGGGGTGTGTTGTTCAAAGGTTCAACTTGCAACTAAAATTTCAAATTTAAATAGATACATGAAGGCATTTTTAACGTGCTTAATTAATTCTCAAATAAAACAATATTCTTGCACTTCTACATGCATAGTATACTATTGTAATACATTTTAAAAATGTGCACATTTAAAAATTAACCATTTTTACTTTTATCTATATATATAATTCTCTTCTGGGAGACGCTAGAAAACAAGCTGTAAGTGCGCTCCCTACCACCCCACCCCTACATGGTCTGGTGAGCTGTGGTTCACGCTAAATGTTTTGTTTACACTCGTGGAGCCAGGTTTAGTGATGGCTATTAGGGGCAGATAATTTAGTTTGAAACGATTTTAAACTTAGGGGAGGTAACTAAGAGGAGGCTGCTTTCATAGGGGGGTGTATGGTAGGGGTTGGGGGAAAGGAGGGTGGGGGTAGTATCATCCTGAACGACCTACTGATAGTGTTTTAAAGCAAATATTTTCAGTGGCAGCATTGGTACTGTCAAATTCACAAACTATGAATTACTGAAAAGTAGAAAATAAAACAACTAAATAGCGGCGTATGATATGCCGCGTGTCGGCTCGTATGATATAATTCAACTTATAAGCCAAGTGTGAACAAGTATAAAATAAAGACTATTTCATATATTGTATACATATTTTTCAAAAAGAAAATCTGGGAATGCTTAAATGTTATAAAAGTGTAAAGTAAACATATTCCCACCAAAAAAGATTTACAATATTAATATTAGACCTAGTGTTTTCTTAAGGAATATAATTATAGCGGGACGGGGTAACCTAGCAGGAGAGAGCTAGACTGCTAACCCGAAAGTCTCAAGTTTGAATCGGGGTTCAAGTCAGTAGAACGTTCCTGAGTCCATCCTGCTATGAAGGGTACCTAACCCACAAAAGGGAAATCAAAGGTGGCTGGGCTTAGTGCTGACCACACTATCCCTTCATATGCCTAGGTTCCTGAAACAGAAGTAATCTACTTCATCTGCCCCATTTGTCTCAGCTCAAACAGGAATAGATGATAATATAAGTTTAGAGTCAGATTATGTATACAGACAGGTAAACAGACACAGGAATCAGCTGTGGAAAGACCCAACTGTTTATGAGCCTGCAGGGATAATGAATTTAGTCCACACTTTACAGTTGAAATATTCCAACCTGAAATCTAATTTTGATCACATCTAGTGGCTGAGTTAAAGCTCTTGATGCTGCACCACTAACTGCACCTGCCAAAGCATGGGCCGTAGAAGAAAGATGAATCTTTTCATGAGGATCAAATCCAACCATTGTTTTTGATGGACTGAAATTACAACAATATTGATATTATGGAGATTTTTCCATAATAAACAAAATTAGCTTGCAATAAAAAACCCACATTGATGTCGCTTTAAAAACAATGTACTAGACAGAAATGAAAAATTAAAATAGTGCAAAGTTAGGGTATGTACTACTGCCTAATTAATGATAACCAACTTATCAAGATCATGTTGGCAACCTCTTATCTATTGAGATCAACTCGGGAATTACAAACACTTTCAACTAGGGCTACTTTCACCAAGGGCACACTAATTAATAATATTAATAATATTATTGTGGATGATGTACAAATGATTAGATGGGTTAATACATATTAAGTGGTAAGTTATATTTTCCACTCTACATTCTTGCACCCCTAAGTGAAGTGAAATTTTATTAATATGAAATCTTTTCATGTAGAAACAATTTTTTTGAAAAATTAAGAGGGCAGTAAGGCTGTTTCATGCATTCAACACCTTGTAATAATATATTGATGTTAATTCTTACATTTGCAGTAGTGGTTATAAAAATTCAATACCTATTTAAATTCACAAATTCGGAATTGTAATTATTGGTTAAAATTTTACACAAATTTGATATATTTTACCAAAGTTGACTATTTGCAGATTTGTTTGTAGTCCTGTTTTTGCATAATCGAGTTATCACATGACTCATGAGATCTCTTTAACATTTTTAGTTACCAATGCTTTTACTATTTTATCTATAAAAAAAGCAAAGCTTGTTTTAATTTATTATTTTAACACATTTAAAAGATTGCTATTCTAAAGAATTTTATATTGGTTTTGTTGACTGGTATGTTTAACATAGACCTAAACTATTTAATACTTACTATATTCAGTCGGCCATTCTAGCTTCTAGATTTATCTGTAACAGAGAAACAAAAAACCGTATGGCATTGGTAATCAGTGTAGGCCAATATACATAGATGTTTTATTTATTATGATATTATTTTTTATTTTCTTAGCAGGATGTAGGCTAGTAATAAGTAATGACTAGTCAATAAAATGTGGGACGGCGTGGCCTAGCGGTAGAGAGCTAGACTGCTAATCCGAGACCCCGAGAGTCTCCGGCTCGAATCTGGGTTCAAATCAGTGGAGCGTCCCTGAGTCCACCCTGTTCTGATGGTACCTAACTTACGTTGGGGAAACAAAGGCAGCTGGGCATAGTGCTGACCACACTATTCCTTCATATGCCGAGTTCAATGTATCAAATGAACTCTACTTCATCTGCCCCATGTGTCTTGGGGATTAAGAAGAAGAAGGAAGTCACTAAAATAGTAGTAGCCTCTAGATAATAGTTCTACTTACTACTTAGCTAAACGACATGCCTAGTCACTGATGTATTCAATATAATCATGTTTACAGTACAAAAACCCAACATGTAGTTCACAAATGAAAGCCTATGATGGATGTGTTGTGTCACACAATTCAATTGGTTAACAAGTTCAGTATGTGTGAGTGAGCTGAGTATGAGTGAGTGGTGTTGTGCAGCCATTTGTTTAGTTTATTTACATTTATTTTTAGTTCACTCTGTCTAAGACTCAATGTTGCTTTGTTAAAAATCCTATTGACTATCACTTTATGTTAAGATAGTTATTAGTTTTAATGTTATTTTGTAATCACTAGTTACCAGCAGTAACACTGGTTACTAGTGATACTAAAAATATTTCAGTCAAATCTAAGCTTATTTTTATAAGCTTTATAAACTTTCAAGTTTAGATGGCATAAAATGACTAGGCAAGAATATTTAATTTTCAAGGTAATCGAATACTAATTTATATCTAGTCAATAAACAATTTAAATTTAAAGATTACTACATTGAGGTTATTAAATGGAGGTTAACAATAAACTGGATCAGTGAGAAGCAACCAGACTCTACTAAGAGTCAGATTATTGTTCTTTAGTTGTACTGATAGGATGAATTGTCTGCTTAATAAAATTATCCATTTTTTTAAAAATGATAAGGTAGGCTACCTTATTATTTATAAGTCAGGATGAAAAGGCTAGCTTATCGCTTGGTTTGACAGGAGCTAACAAACATTGCTCATGCACATGGAATACAGGTTGAGCTTGCCTGACCATGACTGGGTTGAGGCTGCTAGACATAAGCTGATTCCTTCAGTTTATGCAGGAACAAAAAATTCACCGAATGCCTTGGAAAATTGAGAAGCTGGTGGATACTCCAGCCTAAGCATTCCTATTCCACAGCATTTAGCCATAGACTTGATTTTTAAAAATAACTTACTTTGCATGAATTTGGTATTACATTAATTACAAAGAGTGGCATATGTTGGATGGTTAAACCAATATTAGTCAAAATTAGTGTTGAAGGTTGATGGTAGTCTAGACAAAAACTCTAGATACCAAAAGGTCATTAAAGTTGCGGTACATGACTTTCTCAGTCACAATCATGATGGTTTGTTCATTGCTGCCAACGCACCAGGAAGATGAGTGTTAAACAGGGCGTTGCAAGGAAAATTGTGTTACTTAGCAATGAGTTTGCCCAGTCATGTAGATGAAAGAGTTAGAAAAGAAGAATTTTCAATTTTGCCCAAACAAATTGGCTAAATATGGTCAAACATGACAGTGGATACATTTCCTACACTGGCAGCATGCATCCACCCAGAAGCGTCTGAACTCCTTGACATTTCTCTGCTCTCGAATGATCAGAGTTGGCACAATATTCATGTGAGAACTAGCCAGTATTTGACTCAGATAGTTAAATGCATGGATGGTGAATGTTTCTCAAAGCCTGGAAGCTAATTTTTCAGTTTATGACAGATTTCTTCCTCCTCCTGTACAAGTTGTTTAAGTGTTGAGTGTTCAACAGATGGATCATCAGATAAATTTCCATCTCTTTTTGCAGCTCTAAGTATAAGAGTGGATGAAATTCTCCCCCACATTTCAAATCCTTATCACTCATACTTCTCTTTATTGGTCATGCTGCACAACCATTCCTTAACTCACAAACAAAGATGATTAACTGTGCCATTCCTGCACTTCAGGCCTCAGAGAGTTGCTGCACATCGCCAACAGGCATGATGAACTGGATGGTTATAATCAGCAATTAAAATAAATGGTGAGAGTGCAGATAGAATAGAAAAAGATCTTGATATAAAAGGAATTCCCATTCCACAGAATATAAAAATTCATTTTCTCGTGTGTATTTAATAAAGAAACATTTTAATTCTCCATGGGAAAATAATCAAACTTAGGCCTATAGCTTACAATTTTTTTATTGAGGATTGCCATATTATTGTTATTATTAAAAGTAGGCCTACTTTTTATTCATTCAAATATTTGTTAATGCTAAAATTTAGATATATGACATATTATTATTATATATGTATTATATGGTCGGTTAAGTATACCCTGAGTGTTATTGATATTATTTAATTTTAATTTTAATCATTTGCTGATTCAAAATTTGCATAATTTTGTTATTGGCAAAATTAAAAAAAAAAACAGGTCAATAATATTATAATAATTAATAATTAATAAAATAATGATGGAAGGATTCTCTTCAGCTTGAATGTCCATTACAGTGCACAACAACAACTGACTTCACTCACTAAGTCACTTCGTCTTCATTACAACACACACATTCACATCATAGCACAGGCACTCACAGCCTTTCCACAATGCTGCAATTCCTTCTTCCTTTATAGTGCACTGAAAAGCTTGCACCAGTCCTTTATACTTTGATCTAGAGTCTAGATTCTAGATCTCTAGATCTAGATCTAGATGTGTCACAGTCACAGAGTTGACTCGAAATAAATATTCAACTTTTACTTTATCTCTTGAAACTTCACTTTAAATTTAGTTTAAATTTAATTTAAACTTTACTTTTAGTGATTATTAAAAACAATGATGGAATACGAGTATGTTTTCGGATATTTATTATTTAAATATAGATCTAGATCTAGATCTAATACTAATAGAAAAATGAATAATAAATCACCAATCAATAAAAATGTCCTAGAATTAATAATAATATCAAGGATGTTCGTCGCCTAGTAAATTTTCTACTATTTATTAGTTAAAAGCGACCATCTTCAAATAATATAACAGTAGTTTCCCTTGCATTTCTATCTTCAAATAATATAACAGTAGTTTCCCTTGCATTTCTATTTTCTACTTTTTTAGACCAGTAGGCCGACCTAGGAAAAATACAAATTATACATTCCCCTCCATGGAGCGTTCATATATATTCTAGTTATCTGTTTAATTCCCAAATAAGAGCTCATCCTTTTATTTTTAGTCATACCAGCATATAAATCTAGATCAGGGGTTCCCAACCTTTTTTTACTCTAGAGCACATTCTAAAATATCGGTAGGGTGGAGGGCACCACCTATTTTAAATTGACAAACTCCTTCCAGAGGCGTAGCGACCCTTCCCGTCACCCGGGGACAAAACTTTCGATTTGCACCCCCCCCCCCGGAATCGTTCGGAATCGTTCGGCGGGCGCCATGGCGCCCGCGGGCACGGGATTGGGAACCCCTGATCTAGATCTAAACTCTAGCTTTATCTTTTTTTTTTACTTTTTAATGCATTTTTTTTTATTTCTCGTAGATCTATATGCAGAGTATTGATCTAGAGAAAGTTTGCAATCGTGCAAAAAAATTTTTTTTAAAAATCGAGATTTTTGCTAATCTCGACGTTTTACATATCACTGAGTCGGAAAAACATAATTAAGCAATCTTGTTCGTATGTCTGTGTGTGCGTGTATGTGTCGTGCGGCGTCAAAACGGCCAATTCAAAACTACCCCGATCAATTGGCCCCGTCAAAAGGGCCAGCGACATATGGACCCCGTCATATATGCTCCCGACAAAAGGACTCCGGTCAATAAGGCTCCCGACAAATAGGCTCCTGTCATTTAGACTCCCGACATATAGTCTCCAGTCATTTAGTTTCTTGACAAAACGGCCACCGTCATTACGACTCCCGACAAATAGGCTCACGCCATTTAGTTTCTCCACAAAGCGGCCCCCGTTATTACGACTCCCGACAAATTGGTCCCGTCATTTTGGCTCACGACATATAAGCTTCTGTCAATTTGGCTCCCGACTAAACGACCACTGACAATACTGTAGAAGCAAAACGATCTCATTGAATATAACACCTACCAGTGGGACCCCTTCATCAATATTCTTTAGGGTTAGCTTATCCAACACTCTTAAGTAATACAACGTATGCATCTCTTGTTCGGCAGGCCTTATTTTTTATAATAGTTTATCTATTATAAGAAATAGTATCTATGACTTACATAAATGAGTCGGTTTATATAGGCTCTTCCAACATAGTATGGGGAGAGGGGTCCACGCTGTACATTCCTACCTGCAGTATTCTTGTAGATTATCAAAACAAAATGCCGTAAATATCATGTATACTATTATACATTTACACTTCTGTGCTCGCTTTTAAGCAACAGATCTTCACTGTTGTAAATTAAACATTATCAGAACTTTAGAATTGGTGGAATTTATAGTTGTTAAGTCAGTGGCGTAGCTAGGATTTTCGGGCCCCTATGCAAAAATTATAATTGGGCCCCTACTACGTCAATTTGTAAATTGTGTATTTTACACGTCCTAATTGTGTATTTATACGGTATGATTGTGTAGTACACCCGTAACGTAAAACACCCTCTATTTTATATCACTTTTATGTAAAAATAAACTAAAAAATTAATTGTAAGCCTGTAACATTTAAGTAACCTAATACAGTAACATTGGACGGGGTGGGGGTGGCACTCACTAAACGCGCCGGGTGATATCGAACCTTGTGCAGTGTTTCTTCCAGACTTTTTTCTCCGGGGGGGGGGGGGGGCACTTGAAATTTTCGGAGGGGGGGGGCGGTAGACTTTCTTCGGGGGGGGGGGGGCGGACACTTTTAAAAATATATATTTTCTATATAAATTATATAAATTTCATTTCGTTCCGGGGGGGGGGGGGGGCGGTAAAAAATTCGGGGGGGGGGGGGGGCTTCGCGACGCGTATACATTTTCGGATGCTGGATGCCCTTCCCACAAAAGGGTCAATGTTCAAGTTTATTTATAGGCTAATTCTCTCAACGGATTGCCCAACAATTCAACAATGCCTATAGTCTTATTAATACCGATGGGCCCTGTGCAACCTCTCCCCAGTAAGAAAGGTCGGGGGGGGGGGGCTTTTTCGGAACTTTTGATTACTTCTACAGTAGAAAAGAAACTGGATTTCTGTTTTCTTTTTAAAATTATTTTTAAAGAGGGAATAGGGCCCCTATTTGCCTTGGGCCCTATGCCTTGCTTACGCTAGCTTTACGGTAGCTACGCCACTGTGTTAAGTGCTCAATGTGTTTGTGAAATGATGTTGGTTCATGAAAAACAATTTCATTCAGGCATTTAAAAGAGGTTATAGTGGTATTGGAGGTAGGACAAAATGGTTACTTTTATGCCAATAGTGGTCATGCAATTCATTAGTCTGGAGCAGGGGTCTCCAAACTTTTCAGACCGAGGGCCGCATTGACTATCAAATATTAGTTCGGGGGCCAGAGTTTCTTCAAGACATCTCTTCGGTGTTATGGACCCCCCCCCCCCCGACAAATTTCAAGATCCGCCACCGTGCCGCCACCCCCCACCCCCAGAGAAAAAAATCTGAAAGAAACAGTCGGGGGCCGACAACACACTCGGGGTCCAAGTTTGCTCTAAAATTATTCTTCACTTATTCTATATATATGGTTGAGCCCATGTGACCTTATTAAATTCGCCATCTTCACCAAATAGATACAGTACACCGCTAATGTCCATGTATTTTGCACACAAAGCTATATAGCTGGTGAATAATACAGTGCAGGAACATTGGTTGTAGAATATTTTTGTCATTAGCTTGTCCAACCAAGACTTTCTTTATGCAACTAATGTACTTTTCCCCATCAACAGTCAGGTAACTGAGGTTAGTCCAGTCTAAGTTATAAACAGCAAATGTTTTCTTTAACTCATTGAATATATCCTCTCCTGTAACAGTGCCATACATATTATGTAGGGAAGCCAGCTTTTGTGTTATGGTCATGTCTTCATCCACACCCCTTATGAACACAAGAAGTTGAGAGGTGGAACAGCTGTCTAGCGACTCACCCATTGCAATTAAAAAATAGTGAAACGTGCTTGCATTGTCCGCTATTTAAGTCACGATGTCTTCACCAATGTCTGCAACACGGCAGGCAAAGGTATTTGCACCCAAAGCTACATTTTCAAATTATTTTGAATTTTCTGGACAAAGTTCCTCAGCCACCTAACAGACATATTTTTCCGTGGACAAAAAGATCTCCGCGGGCCGGATGAGAGGACCTTGCGGGCCGCATCCGGCCCCCCGCGGCCGTAGTTTGGAGACCCCTGGCTGGAGCCAATATGTCCTGAGTAGTTTGTCGGAAGTCAATATGTCGGGAGCCCATTAGTTGGTAGCCAATATGTCGAGAGCCCATTTGTTCGGTAGCCAATAATGTCCTGAGCCTATCTGTCGGGAGCCAATCAGTGTTTCTTCCAGACTTTTTTTCTCCGGGGGGCACTTGAAATTTTCGGGGGGGGGGGGGGGGGGCGGTAGGACACACTGTTAAAAGTATATATTTTCTATATAAATTATATAATTTCATTTCGTTCGGGGGTGGGGGGGGGGGGCGGTAAAATAATTTGGGGGGGGGGGGGAGGGGCTTTGCCCCCCCCCCCCCCCCCGAAGAGATGCCTGGAAGAAACTCTGGAGCCAATATGTCGGGAGTCCATTTGTCGGGAGCCTAAATATCGGGAGCCTAAATATCGGGAGCCCATTTGTCGGGAGCCTATATGTCATGAGTCAATATGACGGGAGCCCATCTGACGGGAGCCAATAAGTCGGTGCCCTTTTGACGGGGCCCTTAACATGTCCATAAACTAAAAGACAGCCTACATAGCCGTGGCGGAACTAGAAAAAAATGGCCACCCCGCAAAATTATTTTTTAACCCCCCCCCCCCCCCATATACATATAGAATCTACATCAAGTCAAAAATTGCAAGAAAATTCGATTTTTAAAACTATAATAAAAATTATTAGGGTCGGCCGTGAGCCCCTAAAGATCTGCCAGTCATAATGTGAAATATTGAATATTGCTAGTCAGAATATTGAAATTAATTTATTAATTGACTAAGGCTTATTTAAAATTCATCATTTTCTTTCGCGTGTAGCATGAGATACAAATAATCGATGCTGAATAAATTATTTAAAACGCTATTATTAGGTATTTTAATAGATATCTATCTGCCTATTCTTAAATTAACTAGTTTTGTTTCTTTTCTCGCTGAGTTCTCTACTTTTTATAAAAAGTTCAGTTTAGGCCTACTACCGCTTCCTACGATGAGTTTGGACTAGCCTACCCTAGGCGTAGGGCCTAGCCACTTTTCTTCATTGAGAAGTTTTAGACATGCGCACTCCATCTCACTTAACCACGCGGTAACAACATGGCGGCAGGCAGGATGGAAACAGAGGGTAGAAAGAACAGAGAAAGTGAATCACACGTAGAAGAAGAAGAACTTGAAGAAAATGAGGAGGAACCCAATTTCAGCGATCCAGAAGATTACATTGATGATATCACCGATGAAGGTAATGTATAGTCAATAGCGACCTAAAAAGATAAGCCGGTTAGTCGTTTTCACAAGCCGGCACTCTTCATCAGAGGAATGACACGGCGATAAAACTTTTCCTCCATATGGCCGTGAAAGACATTGACTTTTCTATTAACATACTCTTAAAATAAGGCTGAAAAGCAGTTTCTTGAAACACGCTTGTCTAGTACATAGATCAAGATCTCTACACTATCTAGATTATATTTTCTGTAACAGCATTAAATTAGTGTAGGTAGATTTGGGTGTGGGGAAATGGCGAGGAGGAAAAATGCGAGAAGTGCGCGAAAACGGTCGGTCACGTGACTTTTTTGTCTCGCATTTTACCACAAGCCGATACTTACGCTGGGTGGTGTTGAAATGCGAAGATTTCTGCGAAAAATTTACCGCACCCGATTTTCAGTGGTATTTGGTCCAGACTTCAAGGACGTTTCGTTTACATTGTTAAAACTTCCGATTTTTCCGTCGCTAGACATACTGATGATTTGTCAACTCCCCCCATCTTTTGTGTCGACTTAGAATACCACCTTGTTCGAAACCGATGGAAATACCGCCGACGATAGATCAACTTCTGTCTTTTGTGTGGAACGCCGAGGCCGCCTGATTTACTGTCTTTGAAGATCGCCGTGCCCGGATCCGCTGCCGCCGTAAACATATTTTCTATTGTTGCATAGAAATTTTGAATTATAGCCGCCGCCTACGATTTTTTTCTAGCTTTTTTTACCATATAAATCTAAACACAAGGAAATGCCTACATCATTTGGATACAACAAAATAAAGTGACGTCACCGATATTATCAGTTGCTCGTGCTATATCGTAAGCTATGGGCCTAATTCAAATATTTTTAAAACCAAGTTGAACTTATCTGAATTTTTTTGGTTTTGGTGGTGGTATTTGGGGTCTTCCATAAATGACGTCACACTCGTAGGGGGGGGGGGTCTGTAATTTTATGACGATGTGTGATGAGAGGGAGGAGGGGGGGGGGGGGGAATTAGATGTGAAGTCACACTATAAAAAAGCAATGTTAGAAAAAGAATTTTAGACGTTTTTTCGCGTTTTAGAAAACCGTTTTAATACATTGTAATATGAATTGATTAAAATACTCTATTTTGACCGAAATTAGACAAGATTTTGGGAAAATATCGATGTTTTAAAAAAACTCAACTGCTGGTGACAACAATGAGCAAGACATTGCCAACATTACAGAAATGATAAAAAATACAGATTGTAAAAAACGGAAAACAGATGTTGAGCGTGCGGATGATGATGATGATGAGAAAATGGGTGCCAGTGTTGTTTGTGGGATGAACGAGGAGGTCAACTGTGATGAGAATGTGAAATGTTGTGAATGTGGATTGGAAGAAGTAGCAAAAGAAAAATGTATAAATGGGAGTCTAATGAACTGGGTTGGGTGTACTATGTGTGAAAGATGGTGTCACGAGGTGTGTTTGAGGACTGTTTCAGAAGATTTTGTTTGTAAATTTTGTTTGTAATTAAAATTACTTAATAAAAAAATAAATTGCACTTTTTAGAATTGTTTATACTTTTACACTTTTTGCAAGCACAAAAATCCATAAATAGATGTTGCAAAATATCTCTCCTGCTGACAAGATTATACCAATTCACAATGACACAGCTCACGTTTGTATAAACATGAGAGGGGTAGATTTTTAAATTAATGCCGACTGAGGCGGGATTTTCCTCTCCCTAACAAGAGCGGGCGATGACAGTTGCACAGCAACGATGTTAGGATTTTTAAATAGATAGATCTAGATATAGATCTATCTATCTTCTTAGTATCTAGATAAAAAATAACAACATACAACACTCGTGTTAAAGGGTATGGCTAAATGCTTGTTTATTTTAGAACAAAAAAAAAATAATTTAAATAAAGATGGAAAAAAAAGGAAAAAACTTTTTTTGCAAAAAGTGTTGCTATTTACCCTTAATTCCGCAGGTATGTCTCGCATTACCTTCTCGCATTTTCCCGCCTCGCCATTTCGCTTTTCGCGTCTCGCAATTTCCCCACACCCGGTAGATTTTCTAGAATCTAGACCAGTATTTTAAATTTTAAAAATTGTATCCCAAAATTTGCAAAATCATTTGAGTTAGTCACTCAGACTGATCTAGAATCTAGATCTGTTAGAGGAAGCATTAGCTTTCCATTGTTACCAAATTTAAAGATAGATCTATTTCTAGAGTAACATGCACGATTTGCAAATGTGCATTGCTGCGAATGCTTCTTTGGTTTTTGGCTCATAGAAACTTTATTAGTATGACATGTGAAACTGTGACGCCTGCATGTAAACTGTTCATTTATGAACAAGTCTGTGTCAAGTATTTTAGTTTTCACTTTCAGGAATTTTTTTTTCAGAATTTTTAATGTTGCATGGTATGCAAATTTCCATGTTTACAACACCCTGGATGATGTGACCTAGTGTAATGAGTGGTGGGGGGTTCAGATGGTGCCACGTCAAACTTTTGCATTATAAAAAAGCAATGTTAGAAAACAAATTTTAACCATTATTTCGTGTTTAGGAAAACTTTAAATGAATTGTTATAGGAATTGATTAAAATACTAGGCCCTATGTTGGCAGAGTTCAGACAAGATTTTGGAAAAATGTATTTTAAGAAAAATTACAACTGTAATTTTGAGGGGGGGGGGGTGTAAAAATCTTCAAAAAAGTGCAGTCATTTATGAATTTATGGATATATAGGTCTCTATAGTAATCACGACAAAGTGACCAATCTTTTGGAGCATGTGATGTTACACAACACCATCTTTCGCCTGTAATCTATGTGATTTGATGAAGCTTACTTGTGCTGATGCTCATGATGGTCATTTTGCTAAAGAGATGTATATTGTAAGTCTTGCAAATCTCTATCAGTGGCATCTGATCTGCCAGGTTGCTAAGAGGCCAGACTAATATATACTTTTGTCTTTCTTCACTTATTTGAAGCCCCAGTGTATAAGCTCCTTTTTTAAAAGGATATTATTTATGTCAAATGAAAACACCAAGTACTTCTAAATCTCATTTAAATGCAAGATTATAAACAACACTTGATATTAACATTGTTAACAAAATGTGTTGCTAAAAAATTCCTTTGTTATGCAATTAATGTACGTATAGGAAATCCCAAAATTTCGAGTTATTAGAGTACAGAGTGTATGTTCTGTATGTCATCTTTTAGAGATAACCCCCTCTTTTGAAACTACTCCTGAAAATTTTCATGTTCTGTATTAACTTAAGCATCATCAGTAGTTGGCCTTTTTAAAGATGTATACATTTTAATAAAATAGACATAAATATCCAAGGTTTCTAAAATAAAACTACTTTTACAATTATTGGGGACAAATCAACAGCTTTTTATTCGACAATTATATAAAAATTAATGTCTTTTACAAAAACCTTTTCAAAGAGCAATGATGTTAACACAACACCATCTTTCGCCTGTACAACATATTGATGAAAGTCACATGTGCTGATGCTCTTTTATATAACCAAGTTAATCTTTTTGCTTGTTTTCTAAATTGGGGTAAATATCTGTAGGCCTACCTTGCTGAATCGGGAAACATTCATATGTTATTCTGTAGAATGGTGTGAAAATGTATCTTTACCGTTACAGGTGGGATCTTTTGGTCATTTTTGTCCTTATTTAAACTTGCAAACTTGCTATGTTATAATCTTTCTTCTGTTTTCAGAGCTTTTAGGTGATGTTCTGCGCAAACGACCTAAGCCTTCTGACAGTGTTGATTCAGTAATAATTGTTGACTGTATTCCAAAAGTTGGAAAGGAGCGTCTTGATAAACTAAAAAATGTTATTAAGAAGTTATTTTCTAAATTTGGTGCTGTGGTCAATGCATTTTATCCACTCGATGATGAAGGAAACACAAAGGGGTAAAGATAATATACTTTTGTTGATTTACTATTTTCCTATATATATATATATATATATATATATATATATAATGTTGGTAAACACTTATATATTCTTTAAAATGGAATTTTTTAGGTACATGTTTTTGGAGTTCTCATCTCCTCAAAATGCATATGAAGCTGTTAAGATGACAAATGGGTACAAACTGGATAAGCAACATTCTTTTAAAGTTAACCATTTTTCTGATTTTGAAAAGTAAGTGGGATCTTTATTTTGGCCATATTGAAATTTATGCCCGTCTTTAATTATAATTGCCTATTTTCAAGCATAGTTTATAAATTCTATTCCTTATTTAAACAGGTACATCAATATTCCTGATGAATGGTCTCCCCCAGATCCAAAACCATATCAAGATCTAGTAAGTTGAACAGATTTTTATATTGATAGCAATGGCATAATCCTTTAGCATTGTATTAACTTTATTTTCTGTTTTAAAGGGAAATTTGCGTAGTTGGTTGCAGAACAAGGAGTGTTTTGACCAGTTTAGTGTCATTTATGGAGAAGGTGATAAAACTGCAATATTTTTAAATAGTCCAGAACCCTCAAAAATGGAAGAGAGAGATGTGAGTTATACTTTTTGTTGATTGTTGCTGAAATTAAATTTTTTTTTTTTAAAATGTGTTACATTTGTTTTTGCATTGGTCTGCTTAATTTATTGTTGATCATGCCAATATTTTTTCAGCGGTGGACAGAAACATATGTCAGATGGTCACCTCAAGGTACATACCTTGCAACCTTTCATGTGAAGGGTATAGCATTGTGGGGAGGTCCAAAGTTCAGCCAAATAATGAGGTTTAGCCATCCTGGTGTTCAGCTTATTGATTTCTCACCATGTGAAAAGTATGTATAAACAGATTTTGATGTAGGTTTTTTAAATAAAGCATTTTATTTGCATGTTATACTAAAAATCTTTGTACCTTCTATTTACAGATATTTAGTAACATTTAGTCCTCTTCAAGATAGCCATGAAGATCCTCAGGCAATTATTATATGGGATATTCGTTCTGGTGTCAAGAAGAGAGGTTTTCATTGTGAGAGCAGAAGCACATGGCCAATATTCAAGTAATTTTTTTTTATTTATTATGTTTATTGTAATATTGTATGTTTTGTATAACATTTTAAAGTCTTTTATATTGTTACTCAGGTGGAATTTTAGTGGAAGCTACTTTGCCAGGATTGGAGAAGAGGCTATTAGTATTTATGAAACTCCAGTAAGTTTGATTAAATTTGTTTTATTCTTTAAGGACTTCAGAATTATTTTTTAATTCATAATTTCTGTAACTTTTTTTCTGCAGTCATTTGGTCTTCTCGAAAAAAAAAGTTTAAAGATCCCAGCTGTGAGGTACATTTTCTTTATCGAATGAAAGTAATTTTGTTGGAAATCGCTATACTTTTAAAAAGAATATAATCTATATATAAATTTTGCAGGGATTTCTCCTGGTCTCCAACTGATGACATCATCGCATACTGGGTGCCAGAACAATCTAACACACCTGCTCGTGTAACATTGATAGAAATACCCAGCAGATTAGAATTATGTGTTAGAAATTTATTCAATGTTGCTGACTGTAAAATGCATTGGCAGAAGAGTGGTGATTATCTTTGTGTTAAAGTTGATAGATACAAGACTAAGAAAACGGATGACAAAGAACAAACAAAATACAGTGTAAGTTGATCTTTTAAAGAGCATTCAAATAAAAGATTACTTGTGTATCTGGACATGAACATTTTTTAATATTTTAAATTTCTTTTACAGGGTATTTATTACAATTTTGAGTTGTTCAGAATCAGAGAAAAGCAGATACCTGTGGACAAAGTAGAAGAGAAAGGTAATATTTTCTGCCATTGCTGGTTTGCATAACCTTCTACTTCAATACTCATTGAATTAATGTTGTGTATGATGATAACTAGACACCTCTTGTCTGATTTTCTTCTGAAAGATATTTTTATTCTGACACAAGTTAAATTATTTAGAAATGTTTTTTTTTTATTATTAAGGCTAGTCAAAGTTCTCTAATTATTTTAATCTTATTAACTTTTACAGAAGCTGTATTAGCGTTTGCTTGGGAGCCCATTGGCAATAAATTTGCATATATTCATGGAGAGGCTCCACGTATAAATGTAACCTTTTATAACATTCAACCTAAAGGAAAAGTAGAGTTGATAAGTAAGTTTGGTTTTACCTCCACTTGTTAAAGTTAGCTGTACATTATGAATCGTATATGTAAATTTTGCAAGGCAGTTCTGCTTTTCTTACGTAAAAAGTGCTTTTGTTTTTATTTTGTTTCTAATGCACTTTAAAAAAATCTATTTTAGAAACATTAGAGAAAAGGTCAGCAAATCATCTTTTTTGGAGTCCTAATGGTCAATTCATAGTTCTAGCTGGACTAAGGAGGTATGTGCACCTTTCATTCTTAAAATAGGGAACAGGGCCTAACAGGCAAGGCAAATCTTTATTTGTGTGTTCATGAGTTTTGTTTTATCTTCCCTAAAGTAAAAGGTATTATTCTCACAATTAATTTTCCTTGTTAATATAAATCAAATACTCCTATTTGTTAAAATTTTGATGCTGCATTTGTTTATGATTGATGAAAATTTGACACCTCTACTGTTTTTACAATGATGAGGAATTTTATCTGACATAAACGCAAGAAGCTTCGATTAAGCCGGGGATTATTTAGATAAGTAGTTGTTAAGATGTTGTATAAGCTCATTGGTTTTTGTATCTCTGTAAGGCAAATATATTTTTTAGCGAAAAATGAATCAAATATTCCAGCAGATAACTAATAGATCTAAGTACATGTTAGGATGATTTTTGTATCATTTGCTGTTTTAATTTATATATATATATATATATATATATATATATATATATGGGCTGTCAGGCTTGAAAATATTAATTTAGTTAAAAGTATCTATTTACCAAAATAGTTCCGGTTTCTTGCTTGCTTAAAAAATAATTGTTGATGATGAAAATTTGACACCTCTACTGATATATTTATATTGATGAGGTAATTTTTCTGACAAAAATGGTTGATTATTGTATTGTTTTTAATATGGTCATCTCAAAGCGAATGATGATAACTAGACACCTCTTGTCTGGAGTTGTTTTTGAAGACATTTATTAAATCTGATGCTTTATCAATTTGTTTTATTGATGTATATCTTGATACATACTTTAATAGTATACTTATCAAGATCTCTGTAATTATACAGTATGAATGGAGTTTTGGAGTTTGTTGATACTCAAGACATGACTGTAATGACTCAAACAGAGCATTTTATGGCCACTGATGTGGAATGGGATCCGACAGGCAGATATGTTGTTTCTGCAGTTAGCTGGTGGGGTCATAAGGTGAGTCCTGCCTTTTGTATTACTTATAAAATAATTTTAGATTATTTTTTTAGAATGATGATAATTTGACACCTCTACTGATACTGCTGATGAGGGCTAATATTCTGATGTCTTTGGTTATCTTATGCCTACTGAGGTTTTATTTAAACTGTTTTATCAAAATTATCTTTGCTTTTACAGGTTGACAATGGTTACTGGTTATGGAATTTCCAAGGTATTCTTCAACATAAACAACCTCTTGAGAAGTTTTGCCAACTCCAGTGGAGACCACGACCTGTATCTTTACTGTCAGAAAATAGAGTTAAGGTATAAAAATAACTTTTAATTTTATAATCATTGTATGGGCTGTAATTTAACTGCATTTGGTAATTGACTAATGGATTTTAAAATAAGCTGCGCTGTTTTAAAAAGTCTCAAAAGTGAATTAACCATTAATGTCCCATTCATTCTACCAAAACTCCACCCATGACGGCCCAATGTAAGGAGCATAACTCTGTATGATCAAATGAATAGTTTCACAAAATATTTGTTTTTGTCTAAATGAAATTGAAAATTAAGATAAAAACTACTGCTTAATGTTGGGAATAAACCTGGCTTTCCAACAGTATTAAATAGAATATATTATATTCGGTAAAAGTACAGTAAAAAAATAAAAAATGTCGGAGAAAATTCAAAACAGGTCATTTTCGGTAGTCAACTTTATTTATTTTTGTCTAAACAACTATGCATCGAATTTAACAGTTAAATATCAATTTGGTTACGTTTAAGATATATAATTCATAAAATACATGCCTAGATACGTTTAGAGGCATTATTTTATTTTATTTTTAATATTAAATCTACTAAAAAAAGGACAGATGAGTCTAAAATTTCGAGATAGAAAGAAACTTATTTTTTATCTTTCAAAAGCGCCATTGAAATTATAAGACCGGAAAAGGATGCTGAAACTATGCGACTTCCTGTTTAGTTAAAAATTAGGATTTGTAGGCCAAATTTTAATGAAACAAATTTAATTTTTCTATGCGTATTTTAAGCGGGCGGCAGCGGGCGTTACGGGACATTAATGGTTAAAGAAAACCTAATGCCTTGCAGGAAACATAGGTTGATATTTTCTTTGAATTAGAGCATGTGATGATAACTAGACACCTCTTGTCTGTATTTTTCATTGATGATGTTCATTGAATCTGATGCTTTAATGTATTTTTATTCAATCTTAAAATTGCATGAAAATGTGTTGTGTCTTTTATATTTTATTTTCATTTTTAATATAGGAGATAAAGAAGAATTTTAAAACTTGGGCTCAAAAGTTTGAACAAGAAGATAGCATGAGAAAGATGACTGCCTCTAAGGTAATGATTCTGATTATCTCTAAAATGAAATGCGTTCATTTATTTGTTTGTAGCAATTATAATGTATTTCAATCACATTTTAACAGGACATGCTGGAGAAACGCAAGAAACTAATGGATGATTATCGAGATTATAGAAAGGTTAAAGAGCTTGAATTTGCTAAGATGAAGGAACTTCGTCTAGAATTACGTTCAGGTGAGGGATTTGTTTATTGTTGTAATGAGCAATGATGTAACACAACACCATCTTTCGCCTGCAATGCAGTTGATGAAAACTTATTGTGCTGATGCTCATCAATAATTTGCTCAAGGGTTTCTGTTTTTGTAACTTACGATGTATTCAATAAATTAAATTTCTCACGTTTTTTTTTTTTTAGGTGTGGACACAGATGAATTGCTTAACCAAGAAGATAATTTCACTGAAGAAACTATTGAATTTTTGGTCAAAGTAGAAGAGAAAGTTGTAGAGGAGTGATCCGTTTTAGTGACTAGTGCTCATTGGCGTGCTTGTTTGCACTCTGATCTTTTTCTGCCGGCCCGCGATTTGTTATTCTTTGGAATTCTTCCTTGAGACTACGGTCAAACTAAAGAGGATTTGTCAGACACCTAATAGCTGACAAGAAATCAAATTGTATATAGGAACAATTTCTGTTTTAATCTATTTAACTTTTAACATTGTCTGGATAGTGATATATTTCCTTGTCTCTGCTTGTTTAAGTAATAAATGCATGTAATTTAGTTCTGGGCACTTTTTATTGCAGCAAGTTCTCAATAATGGTATATGTATTGGATACAGTGTACTTAGCTAACACTTATGTATCATTGTCATTGATTTTGTTGGTAGGTTATTTTTCAGGTCTTTATTCTGTCCCATATAGGTTATATGGTGTAATGATTTATTTTCATTAACATGTATAGGAATTGGTATTTTTTTTTTCTTTTGAAGAATAAAACTAATAAAGTTTGTTTTGTTTTGTTAAACTTTTTCCACTTAGGTAAATAAAATTGCTGGACTGTCAGTAAACAAACTTTTCATTATCAGAAATGTTTTTAAAAAAATATTGTAATTTTAAAAATTAAAAATCCGTGGGGGTTGTAGGTATGTTGACTCAATATGTCTCTTGTTAATTTGGTTCCCAACAAAAAGGACCACTGGCAATTTAAAAAAATGCCGTTATTCTGTAAACATCTATACCACTCGTGGACACTTCTGTGCTCGAATTTAAACAAATCTTTTGTTATAAATTAAACACTACCAAAATTGGTGGAATTTAACTGTTGAGGGCTCGATTTGTTTGTGCACTGATGTTGGTTCATGAAAAACAGTTTCATTCATTTAACTTAAGTTATTGTAGTGGTCTGACAAAATGGTTACTTTTATTCCAATAGTGGTCATACGAGCCAAAATGTCAGGAGGCCATTTGTCCTGTGCCTATATGTCGCGAGTCAATAAGTCGGGGCTTTTTTAACTGGGTCGTTTTGTCCCGGGCCGTTTTGACGGTGCACCATTGGAAACTAACCACTGCATACTTCTAATATATAAGCATGATTGACCGTAATTGTCTTTAGAAAATCTGTAACTTTAATCAAACATTTCCCATTCATCTAAGAGCGGAACCCCATTTGTCCTTTAACTTGAAGACGAGTTTCACCCTTCCCAAACTGTTTGGACATCACACTGCCATAGGGGTGCATTCAATTTACATCTATACTAAATTTCCACGTTTCATACATACCTAATAGTAAAAGATTAGATGGCTTCCGTTTTGCGTGGGTTACAATGCTAACCCAGTTTAAAGGTATTCATGGCAGGGTGGTCAGGAGAAATATAAACCACGAGCCGGCCCGCGGCATATCATACGCCGCTATTTAGTTGTTTCTAATTTTCAATAATTCATAATTTGTGAATTCGACAGTACCAACGCTGACACTGAAAATATTTCTTTAAAACACTATAAGTAGCTCGTTAAGGACCATAACCCCCCCCCTTCCTTCCCTCCCCCCTCCTCTCCCCCCCCCCCCCCTACGTTTAAAATCGTTGGCTCTGCTTGTAAACATTTAGAGTGAACACAGCTCACTAAAACCATGTAGGGGTGGGGAGGTAGGGAGAGCGTTTGCAGCTTGTTTTCTAACGGCTCGAAGAAGAGAATTATATATATAGATTTTATTTTTACTGACTAGTGGGAGAGCTGTAAGGTGATAAATTACTACAGATCATGGTATACGCAAGTATACATTTATTAAATATGTACGCTTTCTCTAGAGCTTTGAAGCGCAGTAACAGGCGTCACAAAGGTAAAAAAAAATTGTCTTTGGATGTGACCAAAGGTGGATTGGCCCACCGGTTTTTCGGAAAAATCCCTAGGGGCCTCTGAGGGGATCCATACAGTAATTAATCTACCTTCATCATTGTTGCCTATTATTGGGGCATCTTTGGTGAGATTTGTGGCAATTGTTTAATTACACCCATATTGTTTTTGATAAATTGTAGGGGCATCCTTCAGATTGTATTAATTTCGATGCCCAAAATTACTTTTGAAACTGTAAGGTCACCCTCAAGAGTAAATTGTTTTTTACACTTTGTACTAATATCGCTTAGAATAATAGAGCCTATATGGATTTTTATTAATTTTAGGGGCATGCTTAAATAGTGTTAAAGTATTTTAATTAAAAGTTAAGTATTGGGGGGGGGGGGGAGAGGGGCATATTAGTTTTATTTCATCTTATAGTAGAGCCATCTGTAGAGTTCGAACCCATATTAATTTAATTAATTGGGGGAGGTGTATCAGCAGTGGCGGAACTAGACCCCCCCCCCCTCGCAGAATTTCTTTTGGGTCCCTTCCTATAAGTATATATGTTACGGTCAAAGCCCGAAGTGCGGCCAAAGCCTGAAGAACTTAGCACTAAGATCGTATTTCGTACATTGTCCGGCCAATGCGCGCACTGGCCGGGACGTACTGGCCAAAGTCCAAAGCGCATAAACTTGACAGCGTATTTTGTACATTGGCCGGCCAATCCGCGCACTGGCCGTGATGTCCTAGACTAAGTTGTGATCGCATTTTCATTATTCTGGGTGCGTTTTCATTGAGAGTAACGTATTGTTTAGCTCTTGTTTGTATAGCATTCTATATACAAGGCGACATGGATCAAAAGGGCCGTCAGACCATGAGACAGACATAGCAAATGGCTGTCAAAAGAAAAAAATGTAAATCCATGTTAGTTTCCATATATGGGCTCTTGATAAAATAGTTACTGAGGAAGATCTTGAGAACATTGAACAAGAAATGGAGGTTGCCATAAATGCAACGACATCCTCAGCTAACACATCTACTGCCGTGGCGGAACGTCCAGACCAGTTGCGTGACAATAATGTGGCCAACAGATTATAGTTTGTGAAAAACATTGTAGTGCAGCTCATTCTTTTGGACCCTGTGGAAACGATGTCCTTACTATTTGTGGAATACCCAATGAAGCAGACGAAGGGTACGGAGGGAACATTACCTGCAGATTGTGTCACAACAAACAAGACATCATGGAACACAGATCAGCAGCTCATACTGGCTTGCAAACTCAAGGTGCTAAGATGCTTAAAACACCAAATACAAAATTTAAAGATGGTGAAGTGGGTGACAATGTACGCATCCGTTTTCCAGATGTTGGCAGAGGTCACGGTGATCCCCGAAGCGTGATTGCAGTTGTCATGAGCGTCGAGGGCGGTTTCTACAAATTAGGAACGGAATATGGTGTTCTAAAACAACTGTGTGCTAGAAGTGAGTTTTCAATTCTTCACGAAAAACTGCTCTTATTGTCGTCAGTTGGCACTGAGGAAAAATCACTACGAACCATCGCATCTTCGCAATCATTGACTGGGGGCCAAGGCTACGCTCGCTGCAATTGCACAACTAAGTGCACAACAAATCGCTGCAAGTGTAAAAATAACAAGCTGCTATGTAATTCTAAATGCCATAAAAGTTCAACTTGTTGTAACAAATGATGATATTGATAGATTGAGACTATAGTACAATAAAAAAAATTGAATGTTTCTGTCATTTACTTTAATTAATAATCAATAAAGACTTAATTTCATGATCCTTACGGCATAAAAAAAAATCTGCTCATGATCTTCTAATTCGGACTTTGGCCGGTCGTCCCTAGCTAGATGATCTTCTAATTACGACTTTGGCCGGTCCACCATGGCCAGTCCGCGGACTGGCCGGCCAAAGGCCGAAATCAAGAGCTATTTATTCAGACTTTGGCCAGTCCACCATGGCCAGTCTGCGGATTGGCCGGCCAAAGGCCGAAATCAAGAGCTATTTATTCAGACTTTGGCCAGTCCACCATGGCCAGTCTGCGGATTGGCCGGCCAAAGGCCGAAATCAAGCAAAGTTTCGGACTTTGACCGACCTATGGGAGGCGATATTGGCCAATGCGCGGATTGGCCGGCCAATCCTAGCATTGGCCGACTTCGGGCTTAACCGTAACATATATAAATATGGAAAACAAGTGCCATTCTATTTTTTACTTTCTCGTATACTGAGTATAGACGAAGTATTGTAATAGTGCACAAAAATCACATGAAATTTTGACAGTTTCCATCGTTTAACACTTGAGTACTTTATCATATACGGAGTATAGGGGACTTATTTTAATCGGGCAAAAATTATAAATGCAAATTTATCAAAATTTCGGCGTTTATGCATAATCGAGTCGGAAAAACTGGGCTTTGCTATTCCGTATGTCTGTGTGTTTGGATGTATGTATGTCTGTGAACACGATAACTTGAGTACCGTTACAGCTGACGTTCTAATTATTATATAATTATAAATAAGAACCTTACAGCGTCCTTTAGGTTGTATAGCCTGTGGCTACTTCACCATTACTGAGGGTGATTAACAATTAACGTACATTCAAGGCTTTCATACAGCACGCCCAGTGTTGTTTGGGCGGTCTGTGGATAAGAAAGATCGCAGAAACGCTCAAAGCCAATGATTAAATAATAAGCGTCTAGATTTAACTTTCTAGGAATGTTGGCAAGTACGTGGCTTTTGATGAAAAGATTTCTAATCGTTGTAGAATATAGGCCTACTAGATCAAAGTACTCACTGAGTACTAAATTAAGATTTTGAAAGAAAGCGAAGTAATATATAATTCAGTTTTTACTTGTGTTTTATATTCGTCAAGCATCCCGTAAGGCCCCCCCCCCCCGGGTATGTGTGAGATTATTTATTTTATAGGCGACCCCCGAAGCTTCAATAAAATATTATGTACATTGATTTAAATTTTAGATCGTCTAAATCTAACTCTAATTTCACACTTTGATCTGGCAATAGTCTTTAAAGTCTTTCCGACTGATCTCCCTTTATTTAACTAAATACACTAAATAGTAACTTGCTACTGTTTTAATTTTAAATTTAACAAAACTAAACCAGAGAGGGAATTTCGATCTAGATCTAGATTTTCTAGATCTAGATCTAGAATCTACCACTCTATTTTGGGCTCTATATAATTTTTGGGGTAGGCTCCTAGTCCTATGTGTTATAATGTTATAGAATATAGATTCTAGCTAGATTCTTAATTCTAGTGTCCAAAATAAAATGGCACGATAAAAAATTATTAGCCTAATATAATAATCCTAATATTTTTATATTTTATAGTATAGGCCATAGGCCATATAGTGCATATACTATGATATAGGCCTACTGAGTTTAGTTGAATTACTAGGGTGTGGGGAAATTGCGAGACGCGAAAAGCGAAATGGCGAGGCGGGAAAATGCGAGAAGATCATGCGAGACATACCTGCGGAATCAAGGGTAAATAGCGAGACACTTTTTGCGAAAACAAGTTTTTTTTTCATGCTTATTTCATCTTTATTTATTTAAATTATTTTTTTTTGTTTTAAAATAAACTAGCATGTAGCCATACCCTTTAACATATATATATATATATATATATATATATATATATATATATATATATATATATATATATATATATATATATATATATATATATATATATATATATATATATATATATATATATATATATATAGATACTAAGAAGATAGATAGATCTATATCTAGATCTAGATCTATTAAAAAATCCTAACATCGTTGCTGTGCTACTGTCATCGCCCGTTCTCGTTAGCGAGAGGAAAATCCCGTTTCAGTCGGCATTAATTTTAAAAATCTAGCCCGCTCATGTTTATACAAACGTGAGCTGTGTCATTGTGAATTGGTATAATTTTGTCAGCAGGAGAGATATTCTGCAACATGTATTCATGGATTGTTGTACTTGCAAAAAGTGTAAAAGTATAAACAATTCTTAAAAGTGTAATTTATTTTTTATTAAGTAATTTTAATTACAAACAAAATTTACAAACAAAATCTTCTGAAACAGTCCTAGCATTAATCAAACACACCTCGTCACACCATCTTTCACACATAGTACATCCAACCCACCAGTTCATTAGACTCCCATTTATACTGTGCTAACACAGAACACGAATATGAACATAATGGAAAAAAATGTGCGTCTGTAGATAATCTGAATAAAGTCCGCTATGGACGAAACTACCATTTAATAGCTAAAAGGGGTCATCCATAAATGACGATTTTTACCCCCTCCCCCTCCCCTCCGTCACACATTTTCACAAAAATCCAGACCCCCCCCCTCCCACTAAAATGACGTCACACCTCAGTCTACAACCCCCCCCCCCCTCAAAATTGCAGTTGAATTTTTTTTTAAAACATCGATATTTTCCCAAAATCTTGTTTAATTTCTTCAAAGACGGTTTCGGCGGCTTCGGCGTTCCACACAAAAGAAAGAAGTTGATCTATCGTCGGCGGTATTTCCGTCGGTTTCGAACAAGGTGGTATTCTAAGTCGACACAAAAGATGGGGGGGGGGTGGGGGTTGACAAATCATCAGTATGTCTAGCGACGGAAAAATCGGAAGTTTTAACAATGTAAACGAAACGTCTTTGAAGTCTGGACCAAATACCACTGAAAATCGGGTGCGGTAAATTTTTCGCAGAAATCTTCGCATTTCAACACCACCCAGCGTAAGTATCGGGTTGTGGTAAAATGCGAGACAAAAAAGTCACGTGACCGACCGTTTTCGCGCCCTTCTCGCATTTTCCCGCCTCGCCATTTCGCTTTTCGCGTCTCGCAATTTCCCCACACCCGAATTACTACTTACTACCAGAGTTTCTTCCAGGCATCTCTTCACCCCCGAAATTTTTTTACCGCCCCCCCCCCCCCCCCCCCCCCGAACGAAATGAAATTTATTATTTAGGTAATCTATTGTTTTAGGTACGTAAAATCGCCCGCGACTAGTAATGTGAAAAACAGGTGACTCCTTACATTTTAATAATTATTTCACATTTTGAGGAGGATTTATGTTTTGAAAAATACAAAAATGTTTCCTTGTTTCATTTATGTACCTGTTTTTAAACAATTGAATTAAAACTTTTCAGTAATAAATGAACACTAGCAATGTTTCCAACAGATGCACCCATGCTCATTTACTATAGCAGCCATCTTGTTAAAATTTTATTTTTATAGACTTATAGCGCGAGATTCAGGGGGAAGTCACTCTATTTTACAAATGGCTGCTGTTTATATAGCAAATCTTGCTTGCAGACACTGCTTTTTAAAGTTAATTTCTGGCCTATATTGATATATTTAGCCATTGATTTACGTTTATTATTCATTTATCTATAATATTTGAAACAAACATATCACAATATACTCTATTACTGCCTTGACAATGAGGTAACGTTTTCGTACATTAATAGCTGCGGGCGATTTTACGTACCCAAAACTATAGATTACCGAAATTTAGGCCTATATAATTTATATAGAAAATATATACTCTTAACAGTGTCCGCCCCCCCGAAGAAAGTCTACCGCCCCCCCGGAGAAAAAAGTCTGGAAGAAACACTGCTTACTACCAACTACCAAATCTAGGTCAACTCACTGTAGTCTGGTAGTAGTGGTGTTATTATTATTAGTAATATTAGTGAGTAGGTACTGGGTTAACCGGGTTAAGATTTAAGATTAAACAAAAATGATTATTATAAGCTAGACTCTAATTATATGTTGAAATAAAATGACTACTGTAGTAAAAAGGACTAGAAAATAACAGTTTGAAAGTGTTCAGTAAAATTGCTCTAGTTTGTAAGCCATATGTCAGTGACTAGTTTGTATGGTCGAATTAGTTAAAACTTTTCAGTAGGCCTATCCTTATTTATTAATATTTATCATATATGTAAAGCATAATAATAAACAATACAATTAGAACTTCATGGGCAGATTTATAAAAATCCAGGAGCGGAACAGGCACCCCCCTATTTTATACATATACTGTGCTTTCCTACAATCACAGTTTAAATTTTAACTATTTGAATTATTAAACTCAAAATTCATAATTAGGCCTAACTATTGTAATTAAGCTTCAGGCGTAATTGGACAAGACTTTTCAAAAGATGTAAAATTTTTTTTTTTCTCAGACGACACAATTCATAATTTTAAACAAATAGTGCCATCTGGTTGTTTTTTGGCAGTGCTTTTTACTTATTTTTGGGATTAAGAGTATAATTTGATAGGGTTGTAAATGGGATTGTTACCAAAGATGAATTTTTTTGACAAAGTAATATGAAACTTACATTTATTTTAGGACACCACTACACTATTAAACCGGACAGTTTTACTGTAATTAGAAAGAATAGACATGACTGCTTACCAGAATTGTCTGCACTATCCCTTCATATGGCAAGGTCACAGAAACAATTGAACTCTTCTTCTTCTGTGCTGGTGACAGCCATTTATGCAATAAATGAGCTGTTGACTTGTAACACATGCAAATTAAAATGAACATTTTCTCAATTATTAAGACATTGAAATAAATTAAGCCGTTTACTCACAAGAGCACCTTAAATTGTTTATAAAGAGTGAAATGTAGGCTGTCAAATGGTATCTATACTATTTTCTGATTACCATGAATTTATTTGAACATTGTAATTTATTCTTGACTTATTCAAAGTAAGGCAGAAATAAACAAGTGAAAATTAGATTTGATTTATAAAAGCGTACCCTTATTGTGATTAGATTTTAATGTAATGGTATTATTATTATAATGCCATGAAATGCCTATATCATCTGTAATATGAGTATGAGCAAAAATATAATTGATACACAAGTTTGTTACTTTATTCAGCATAACATTTTGTTTAGAATACCTATTAAAATGTTTTAATAAATATGTATATTAAAGTGTTTTGTCTATTCCACACCCAGAGATGTCAGAAAAAAAAGATGACCTAGGGAATGAGTTTGTCGGCTGTTACTGGTAAAATATTTTTAATGCTGTAACTTTCTTTACAAACAGCATCCACTGGGATTACTTCTGAGAAGCCATTCAGTTATTTTAAAAATTATGTGCAGTATTATTGAAACAGATTTGGTTATGAAAACTTAATCGTGTAATTTATGTATGACTTTTCTATAGATTAGACATGTCTTTTGGTTACTAAACAAAAGCAATTTATTTTTTCTCAATTCCAGATGGAAAATTCAAACGTCATTAAAAAATAAAAATTATTTTTTAATTATATATGAGTAAAAAGTGGGGCTGCTGAAATAATGGGCAAATAATGTATCCAATCAATTGGAACGTTTACATATAAATTTGTTTATACATTTTTTATGGCCACTATGAAAGGAGAATTGACCAGAACATGTTTTTCATCCATGTCAACACTAATGATCAGGGATTCTTCTCTAACTCAGTGGATGTCGTTAACAATTTCTAAGCATTTTATTAATTCATTTTATTACATAGTTTGTTGTATGAAAATTTTACTGCTATGGATTAGCAGCGCTCACACATTTGTACATTAATACAATAGTGATTCGTATTGACATTTTTACACGAACCAAATTTTCTTTTCCTTTAAATGCTAACATAACATGCTATATTTATCCAGTGTTAGTTTTATTTTTGTTATGTTTTAATGTGTGCGTATTTGTCTTATTGTAATTCTATTTGACAGTGGTGAGAAACGTAAACTTGGCACACCAGAGTTCCAGTGTACATCATGTGGTACATGGTTTCACAGCTCCTGTGTAAACATACAAACAGGGTATGCATCAAGAACCAGTTTTAAAAAAAAATAGCTTTTGTTTTTGTCATTTAATTTTTAGTTGTTAATTTGATGCTGTAAGATGCTGTAAACTATCAGAAAATGTTATTGCTTATTGCATGTTTAGTAAAGATAACAATTAAGGTGGACCTCATCACCAGCATCTTAATAATATTGTACAATAGTTATCACCTGAACTTTAAGGTTATCTACCATTTGTACCTTTTTCCCCTCAGGAAGTGTCTTCCTTTTATGATTAGCTATCATTTTCTTTGTAAAAAGTGCAGTGGTATTGGACATGAAACATTTCAGAAAAGACAAGCAAGTATGATTGATTTTTTTTTATTCTTCTGCTTTCTTTAGAGATACATATTTTAAGATCCCAATGTGGGGATATAAAATAAAAAATGTTTTAGAATTATTTGGTAATTTCTGGTAACTTGTAAACAACAGGATCTTTTAACTAAGCTTTCTTATAATAGAAAATATATGCATAAACTTATAAGTACTTACACAGCTGTTTATTATATAGAAAAAAGGTTGATAGAGAAATATTTAATAATTTATATTCTTAACTTTTTTTGTGATATTTTTCTTTCTAGATATATTAAGTTTAACTGAAGCACAGTATTTTTCCCATTTCATTAATCTATTAATCTTTGTTGCTGATATTTTTTCCAGCTTTCATTCAGATCTGCCAGATGACATTGGCCAATTTATTGCACAATGCCAGGTCAGATGGGAGCTCAAAAACCATGTTCTCAAAAGACAGGGTGAGTTTAATGTAAACTTTATTTATCACTGTACACATTTTTAAAAATAAAAAGACAAAAATCTTAGGTTTACAGCCAATGTCAATAAAGTTTACAGTTAATGAAATTGTTGTCATTATCATTTGTAAAGTATTTTGTTTGAAAAACCTATTGATGCTTGTTTCCCGAGTAAGCCTAATCCCACAATATAGAGTACTACTGAAATTTTAACCCTAAATATATTTGTGCACATAACATTTTATTTGTGTAATTTATTCTTTGCAGGACATCATACCTTACATAGAGAAAAACTGGGAGAATCTCACAACAATGCAGCGGCGTGTTAAGATCACATGGCACAACACTATTTATAAGACAATGGTAATTAAAGATTATACCACAAGACATATAGTACCATATTTCCAAGGTTTCTGATGCTGTTTCTGAAAGATATTCTTTTATTTAGAAAATTATACCATCAGTATTTGTATTTTTTAGGTCAAGTTGTTTGGATTGCTAAGTGATACTAATTAGCTGGATATCTTGAATTTTGAAAAATTTAATTATGATTTAATTGCAGTTTTCATGTTTGATAAGTTTCTCTGATAACTTGTCATAACTACACTGTACTGCATTGTTTTTTAAACAGACCAAAGAGTCTGATGTTTTTACTCACAAGGAAGAAATACCAGGCGATGCTTACTTTGGTCTTTGCAATCAGGTTAGATTTTCTTAAAGGCGTTACTTGTTCATTAGATGTCATTATTTGAATCAGAAAAACTGATTTTGATCATAGGTTTTTATTTTTGTTTAATAAAAATAACAATTGTTTTGTTATGCAATAATTGTTGGTTCTTGAATTTTTATGTTTTATTTTAGGTATTGTCTTTTAAAAAATTTGAATTAAAAAAATATTGTTATGCAATAATAGTTGTTTCTTGAATTTTTATGTTTTATTTTAGGTATTGATGTTCTTTAAAAATTTTGAATAAGAAAAAATATTGTATACAAAATGTGATTTATCTATTTACAAGAAGGAAAGATTTATTTCTACCCTCTACAGGACTTGTCAAAAGTTGGCCCTGTATCTGATGCTGCCAGAGTGAACTCACAGCCTTCATCCAGCCTGAAGGCCCCTGCAATGCCACTGGAAACAGGACCAGGTACAGCTGGTTTATATAATACCTGTCTACAATTAGGCCAGCCTTTGGCTTGTTTTAGGCAGGCCTTCTCCACTATTACTTTACTATGAGTCCAGTGTTAAATCACTGTAGCTTCACTTTCACTGTGCAATGTCTCTACATTCATTTATTTACACCCGCTTAAATATAAACTGTTATCGCAACAGATAGGGAGTTATACTTCTTACCAGAGATGAACAATGTAGTATTAATTTAATACTAGACAATCTTTACTGCCATTTTTTTCTTATAATATTGGAAGTTTCAAATGTAAACAATGATATTTCAATTGTAGGTAAAAGGACTAGCAAAAGGAAAGCTCCTGTTGAAGGACAACAGGCAACAGCTTTTAAACAAAAGAAAAGGTGAATCCATATAACTTCTTGTTTAATAACACTATATATTCTGTTGCTGTAGATAAATCTGTATAATTTTCTAATATGTTTATATTACAGTAAGTCAACTGTACAGCTAAAGTTGCTACAACTGTCACACACATTTGTAATTATTATTGTTAATGAATTCTTAATTATTTATTCTAATGTCAACATTTTTAGCTCTGCAGTTTGCCATCATGTCCACTATATTTTCAAAATGTGATTAAAGCAAATGAAAAAAGCAGATTTTTACATGCTTGGTGAATTGTAATTTCATAAGTTATCAATTATCATTTTTAAGCTCATATTAATGAGAAAGCCTCCTCTGTTTCCTAAATTATTTTTAACTGCAACCAATAGGTGCTGTATTTATTATGTCTAACGTGAAAAGACTGTATTAAGCCAAAGAGACTTGTTTATTATATTCTTTCAAAGAAGAAGAAGATATTCTTTCAATAATTTTTAAAATCCATTAATTTATTTTACCAGGAGAAGTGTGCAAATAAATTTTGGGTGGTGAAATTTGTCTTTATAAAATATAACTCTGCATCTTCAAAATGAGATAAAAATGTGTGTTTAAAAAGTCTGCTTTTTGTTAATGTTGCTATAAGAATGCACTAGTTGTATGCTGCTTGTTATAATGTAAGTAAATCTCGCAGTGACTTGACAACATCACTGAAGCTCCCATCCCATGGCTACCCACTTGAACACCCCTTTAACAAGGACGGATACCGCTACATCTTAGCCGAGACAGATCCTCACGCTCCTAATCGGCAAGCCTTTGATGAGAGCATTGAATGGGCAGGAAAACCAATTCCAGGATATTTGTATAGATGCATGCTGGGAAGTGAAGTGCTGCTGGCATTACATGACAGAGGTGACATATTCTATTCACTTGTTCTTTAGAAAAACAGAGTTGATATTACAAATGTTAAAAGGGTGGACTTTTAAAAATTTAAGCTCCTGAGCTGAAGGGTTTCTAATGATTTATTCCTTTAGCTCCTGAGCTAAGGGTTTCTAATGATTTATGATTTATTCCTTTAGCCCCTCAGCTAAAGGTTTCTGATGATCGCCTCACTGTGACTGGGGAAAAGGGCTACAGTATGATACGAGCATCTCATGGTAATTTTTTTTCTTTATTCTCAGTTATGTTTGTAGTCATCTCTTTCATTTGATTTTTTTCTTAGAAGTTTAGTTAAACTAATCTTCTAAATGCTTTATTCACTTGCAAATACCACAGGTGTTAATCATGGCAACTGGTATTTCGAGGTCCAGGTGGTTGATATGCAAAATGAAGCTGCTTCTAGAATAGGATGGTCCTTGTCACTAGGTAAAGGACAAATATAAACATTTAAGTTCTTAGTTCACTTTAGGTAGGTGACAAATACAAATCTGTTGTTGACATGCCTTCAACTTGTACTGATTATTTTAGAATATATTAATGAACTAATAATTGTAAACATTTTTCTGATGTTTGTTGTAATCTAATTACAGTATTTTCTTATATTTTTCTTTAGTTTCATTTAAAAAAAAATTATTCTAGATTTAACAACTTGTCTCAATAATTTGAAATTTTATAATAATTTTAAATAAATGTTTTACTGTCAGTTGTTAGATTGCTAAAATATTTATATTTGTACTTGTGTACAGGAAACCTCCAAGCACCATGTGGCTATGACAAGTTCAGCTACTCCTGGAGGTCAAGGAAAGGAACTGTGTTCCACCAGTCTCGTGGCTACCACTACCATGATGGGGGCTATGGAGAGGGAGATGTGCTTGGCTTCTACCTTAGTCTTCCTAATCCTGAGAATCTAGAGCTTCTCTTGCCGCAGACCTTTAAAGAACGGGTAAGTCATCTTCTTATTCCTCTCCTAAACATTCACCTTTATGGTCTTCACCAAAACGATGACTGCAAAAACTTATTTATGTCTCATTTTCTGATTACAAGAGTTTTCTGATGTACTCAATCTAATTTTACTGAAGACACTTTGTTTTTATGTTTAACAGTTGATACTGCACATCTAGTAAGATTACATTTTTGATAATACTCATCCTTTGATTAAAAAAAAAATTGAGATTCTGAATATTTAAAAGCTAAAGTTACCTAAGCAAGCTACAATGTGTTAGGCTAATCTGTATGAAAATTTAGAACAGTGGTTTCAATAACTCTTTTATTAATTCTTTTTGTGTTTAGTTTTCTTTCCCGATTAAAATAAAATTCTATATCTTAAAAAATAAAATTTGTATGGAAACAAAATGCGTGTAAATAAGCTGTAGTGGGGAGTATATATTTCCATTGATCTCCTTTCACATTAAACCAAAGGATAAATCATCTTTATGATGGTTGTCTGATTTGCAACAAAATATTTTAATTCTACATATAAACTTTTAAATCTAGTGCCAACAACAGTTACAAAATTAAAAAAATTATGGAAACTTGCATGAGTCTTTCTCTCACACTTACAACACACAAAGGTTGAACAGTTAAGGCCTGGTGACTTGCGTGTACGCTATGTACATCTGTTTCTACCTATAGTTTTTCTTGCTGAATCTCTTGTCTGATGTAGTTTGAGCTTCTCTTTTTCATTCTTTGATCTGGGCTAGAGGGTTTGTTATTTGGTTTGTGGAAATTGTTTTCCCAGAGCTGTTGGTATTTAGTTTCTCTCCTATACTTGATCAAGTATCAAATATTAAACAAGCGTTACTAAAGACTTCTTGGATACCAAATACAATAACTCAACCATAGTTGTTGTAAGTGTATTTATTTATAAATATAAGTAGCTTTAGGTATTGTGTTTTTTTTTTGGATTTCATCTTGGTCATTATAATTGCAATTTAAATCAACAATATAATTTATCAATATATTAATCAAGATTACACAATCTTATATCAAATAAATAGTTTTGTATATTTGAGTTTTCATGGATTGTCATATCACTGAAGAAAAACACTTCCAACATGTGTAAGTCTTACAAATATTATAAAATACTGTTTGTAATTTCACAGCATTCACCTTATATTGAAACAAATTTTAAGACACAAACATAAGAATAATATAATAGCTTAAAAGGCACTTGGTAGACAACAATGATTACATATAGAGCACTTGACATAAGCATCATTATATACACCATAAGGGTAGTACACTCAATACAGCTTGCACAATTTATTATTGTGATGATTTATTTTAAATAGTTCCAATTGTTTAAAAAAAATTGCATTTGTGAGAGCAATGTTGAATCTTAGAAAAAACAAAACATGTTAAAATTGTTAAATTATGCAGGAACTGCTTGTACACACACATCAATATAAAGTCAGGAAGTTCTTTAAATATTTTGAACAAAAGGCAATGATGAAACTTTGTACACACTACACTGGATGGTAACTAGTGTTGAAGTTATTTTAGCAGATGTAACAAGATACAGTTATAACAGTGTTTGAAAATGGGAAACCTATTCCTACATTTAAAGTAACCATTTATGATATCATATATATGCATAATCACTAAGGGATCTTATTTGATCACACCATGTTATTTATTTTTAAAGATTAAAATCTGCAAGCAATTCAAATATATCAATTTAGTTAATGTAGCAGCATGCAAACACACAGGGAACACATGAAATATAACCTTTTTTTTGTTGACCTGTACATTCAGCTTTGTGAAATAATAAATGTGTTTATGAATTATGTTATTCTAAGTTATGGACATAATTAAAACAATGATCTGACTTAAGAAAGTTTTTTTTTACAGTACAATCAAATTAGATTTGCATTGACAGAGTTTAAAAATAGATTACAAAAGGTTAATTAATTTAATTTAGCTTATTGTAAATAAAATATTCAAAAAGTGAGCCAGCAATAAGTATCAGTTTAATTTAGGATATTATAAAAAATATTTTTTTCGTAGACCTAGTGTTTCACATACACTTTCAATGTTGTAAAATGTATCTTTGTAAGTTGGTTAGTTCAGACATGATGATAAGTATGAGATTAGCAGTATATAAGTTATCATAATTTAACATTTAACACTATACACATTTTGTTGAAAAGTTTTTTTAAATGCCTTAAAACCAATCATTGCGTTTTAGTGTTTATTATTTACAAGAAATGAAGTTAGTAAAAAATAAATCTTTAAATGTTAATTTGTTACTATGAGCTTTTGATATTTTCTTTACAATTTCAATGGTAGTTATGTATGACACTTTAGTATACAATATTGAAGGCACCTACAGACAATAACAGTTATTTTTTATTGCATTTGATGAAAGTTAAATTGTGATTGTTCAGCATTACAGCAGTATCCAAAGACAATGACTGTAACTGCTGACAATGTATTGACCAGATTTTCACACAGCTGTGTAGGCCCCTGGTGGTTAAGTTTGCTGTACCCTGATGTGTCTGAGGTTCTGGGCTAGCTGTTGGCTGGGTTGGTCCTTCCCTCTCCCCTCTGGTCTCTGTAGATAGACTCACTCTCTATTGGACCGTCTTGATGTTGACAACTTGTCATGTAGAGCCATCAGTTTGTTAGCAGTTGGACGCTGTGTCATAGTTACCTTCAGCTGACTATTGTACTGTTGTTTTTTCTGTCACTGCACATTTTGGAGGACTAGATCTGGGCTTGGAACCTGTTGAGTCATTTTCCAGTTGAAATCATTACAAAACATTGTCTTTGTAGTTTTATGTTGGTTAGTTCTTCACCCCCAAATGTTATCATTTGATGTTATCATTTGATGTTATCACTGACTGGTATTTAAGCTACTCACCTGCTCTCACTGGTATTTTACTAAGTTTGCCTTTGCCTGCCTGCTCCTCCACTGATTCTCGCCTTTGTGTTCCTTCTTGTGATTGGCTGTCTGTTTGTATCCCTTCTTGTGATAGGTCTGAATCTTGTGCTTCTATATTGGCTGTAGATGGTGCTGACAGCTCACCATTGCTAGAGAAAGTTTTGTCCTGCACACTGCCCCCTGCTAAAGGCTCAGACAATGGATTGTCCTGTGAGGAAATCTCTGAAGTCTGTGATGTGCCATTGTGTGATGTGCCATTGTGTGATGTGCCATTGGTCAGACCTGGAACAACCAGGTCAGGGCCAGTGCTGCTGGTCAAACCTTGGGCTGAAATGTCTCCCAGAACTGTTTCTCTGGTCTCCTCATCCTTGCCACTTGGCTCAGTGTTAGTATCTGTGTTGGGGCTAGAGAAGTCAGGGCTCTCATCTTTGAGGGAATCCAGCTGAGAGCAGTTGGTTGTGTTGGAGAAATCAGGGTGCGTAGCTTCTCCCTCCGAGGTGTTGGGGTAGACTGTGCTGGCAGTCTCCAACCCCTGGCTCAACCCCTCATCCCCAGGAGGTTTAGAGGAGTCATCCATTGATGGTTGGGTTGGAGGTTTAGAAGCGTCATCCATTGATGGTTGGGTTGGAGGTTTAGAAGAATCATCCATTGATGGTTGGGTAGTAGGTTTAGAAGAATCATCCATTGATGGTTGGGTAGTAGGTTTAGAAGAGTCATCCATTGATGGTTGAGTGTTAGATTTTGTGCCATCTGTTGCTAAGTCCTCAGTTGAAAATTGTGATGTTGAAGATGGTTCAGCAGTCTGTGGGATGGTCACAGTTGATTGCATTGATTGTGACTGGGGTGAGGTCTCAGCTTTTGTAGGATCAGCTAATTGTACAGTTAATGAGGAGAGTTTTAACGAGGTGGCCTGTGAGTCTGAAGAATTTTCAGTCTCGCCCTCCACCACCACGGCTGGTCCACCAGCTTGTCCAACAGTTTTTCTCACTTTAGGGCTGGGTTTAGGGCTGGGCTTGGGGCTCACTTTTGGCACTCTCTTGGGCTTGGCAATGGGGCTGGATTTTGGTGATGGAGTTTTGCCAGAGTTCTCATTGAGTCTGTTAGCCGCCCCCAAACTCAGTGTGCTGTCCCTGGCTGTGTCTCCCTGTTCTCCTCTACTTGCCAGCGTCAAGTCTTCTTCAGACTTCTGCTCTGACATGTGTAGTGCTAGTAAAGTCTGCTCAATGTCTGCCAGCATGGATGAACGAACATCTCTTTTAGCGCTGTCCTCAGTATGGGGACGCAGTGTTGCTCCATCCACATCATCCTTGTTATCATCCTCTCTCTCATCCGAGCTGAGCCTGGAGTTTTCTTCACTTAACTCCTGAAAAGTTAACAGGCAAGTTTTAAAACAACAGATAAAACATTGTTTGCTGTAATTCAATGTTCAATCATCATACACATGGTTGATGCTTCAGTCACCTTTTTCACTAGTCAACTCTCTGCCTTATGTGTTGTGTCTGTCACTCAAGTATATGAACTATTCACTAAGTGTAGCATGACCTTGTACTGTTGTTACTGAGAGAATCAACATTAGGCGTTTCTTCCATTTAATTCAATGAATCAGTTATGTTAGTAAAAATGTTTGCATCTAAAAGTTGGCCCATAATGGTTTCTTCTCTTGGTTTTTTTTGTGGTGTCTAGATGAAAGACTTACTGTAAAAATATCTAGACTGTCTAATGTGACTACATGAAAGACTTACTGTAAAAACACCTAGACTGTCTAATGTGACTACATAAAAGACTTACTGTAAAAATATCTAGATTGTCTAATGTGACTACATAAAAGACTTACTGTAAAAATATCTAGACTGTCTAATGTGACTACATGAAAGACTTACTGTAAAAACACCTAGACTGTCTAATGTGACTACATGAAAGACTTACTGTAAAAACACCTAGACTGTCTAATGTGACTACATGAAAGACTTACTGTAAAAACACCTAGACTGTCTAATGTGACTACATGAAAGACTTTTGTAAAAACACCTAGACTGTCTAATGTGTCTACATAAAAGACTTACTGTAAAAATATCTAGATTGTCTAATGTGACTACATAAAAGACTTACTGTAAAAATATCTAGATTGTCTAATGTGACTACATGAAAGACTTACTGTAAAAACACCTAGACTGTCTAATGTGACTACATAAAAGACTTACTGTAAAAACACCTAGACTGTCTAATGTGACTACATGAAAGACTTTTGTAAAAACACCTAGACTGTCTAATGTGTCTACATAAAAGACTTACTGTAAAAATATCTAGATTGTCTAATGTGTCTACATAAAGACTTACTGTAAAAATATCTAGATTGTCTAATGTGACTACATAAAAGACTTACTGTAAAAATATCTAGATTGTCTAATGTGACTACATGAAAGACTTACTGTAAAAACACCTAGACTGTCTAATGTGACTACATAAAAGACTTACTGTAAAAATATCTAGATTGTCTAATGTGACTACATAAAAGACTTACTGTAAAAACACCTAGACTGTCTAATGTGACTACATGAAAGACTTACTGTAAAAATATCCAGATTTTCTGTAGAACCCTTCATGGCTCTTGGAGCCCTACTTTGCCTGGCTCTGTGTTTGGGTGGAGGAGGTTTGCGATACTAGAACAGATACAGGAGAAACTTGTGAGAAAACTTTGCTGTAAATACTGTAAAAAATATTCTCCTAATACAAATTTCTGATCGTTTGCAACAAGTCTTACACATTTTACTTAAGACACAGTAATATCCAAGTAGGCAGTGGTGGTATGCTGAATCTTGGGTGTCATGGTGTGAATGTGTAGTGTCTCATGGTGTGAATGTGTAGTGTCTCATGGTGTGAATTTGTAGTGTCTCATGGTGCAAATGTGTAGTGTGTCTTGAAGGTAATGTGTAGTGTATCATGAAGTTAATGTGTAGTGTATCATGAAGTTAATGTGTAGTGTATCATGAAGTTAATGTGTAGTGTATCATGAAGTTAATGTGTAGTGTATCATGAAGTTAATGTGTAGTGTATCATGAAGTTAATGTGTAGTGTATCATGAAGTTAATGTGTAGTGTATCATGAAGTTAATGTGTAGTGTATCATGAAGTTAATGTGTAGTGTATCATGAAGTTAATGTGTAGTGTATCATGAAGTTAATGTGTAGTGTATCATGAAGTTAATGTGTAGTGTATCATGAAGTTAATGTGTAGTGTAGAAGTTAATGTGTAGTGTATCATGAAGTTAATGTGTAGTGTGTCATGAAGTGAGTGTGTAGTGTGTCATGAAGTGAGTGTGTAAACTTACTGATCTCAGTATCTCTGTCTCTCTCTGCACAGCAGAAAAATCACCCAGGTCATCTTTTGTGTCTGCTGTGTTTGGAATACTGTTGTGGTAGAGGGGAGGGGGTTGATGGATAAATATTTTTGTTATCATTTTGGTACAGAGAGCACATTTTCTTTCATACTTCATTGAAATGTCCAATCCCCTATTCTACCCCCACCCCCTCCCCCACCCCACCCCTATTCCACCCCACCCCTGGTCTACGAGAAGACGCTAATGAGTTTACAGCAGTTGTATGTCCTGGTGTTCTTACCTTTTCTTCTCAGCCGGCAGACCGTTCTCAACTTTAGTTTTGTCCGAGCTCTTGTTTCTCTGCTTGCTGTCCTCTCGTTTGATGGACAGCTTCTTGCCGTCCGACACGTCCGCGGAGCTCTTCTTGCGCAGGCAGCAGAGGAAGAAGGAAGCCATGCTGACTATGATAAATGTGGAGAGTATGGGGATGGACAGGTCTTTCAGATCATACATCACCGACTAGAGCGTGCAGGCCGGGCGACACATGGCCGATCTTCTACCAACTTAGGTTAGGTCTCTCTAGCAGTACGTTGGTACGTCCAGCTGCCGGTCAAAGAAAACAGTTGGCCCTTGTTTGACGCCGCGAAAATCTCCTATGAAGATATAAACAAAAGTGAGCATGGACACAGTGACACGCGGCCCTACTAAACACGAGCCGCCTAAGTACTCACGGCCAAGGAAACTTCCTGGCCAAGCCCTTATCTCGCTACAGCCATGTACGCCATTGTACGCTGGCTGCTAGTGGGGACTTAAAACAGTTGTCAGTCGCTGGTAAACAGTTTACAATATCCGGACACGTCCTTTACAATATCCGGACACGTCCTTTACAATATCCGGACACGTCCTTTACGTGAGGAAACCTCGCGAGTCAGCGCTAATCGCCCCCTCCCCCTTCGTGACTTGAGTTGGTTACCCAGTGTTTACCGAGAGCCCGGCGAATGGTGTCTCCGGCTAATACATAACGTCAACGTTTTACTTGTATCGAGAAGTCATTGACCGAGTGGCAGACACACATGCAGCAGTGGCCGATACGAGCCATACACCCTGATTAACTTCCACACCCCTGTCATGTCTCTTCATCTCTAGCTGGTCTTGCCCCACCCCCAGGTGTTATCAACACTATCCACCCCCCCCTCCCCACCGGGGATCATCAACCTCCTTGTGTCTAAACACTAGCTGATACAAACCTAAGTCATCTATGAGCCAATTTAAAGTTAGCAAAATTGTTTATTGGACTAATTAGCGGATCAATTAACACTCGTTAATTTCATTGTCTTTGTGTATTAAGTGTTGTGTGAGAACGAAAGGATGACATGTGAAAGCTGGTCACGTGACTTATGCTGACGCACAGGATACTATTCTAATATTTACTATATATATATATATATATATATATATATATATATATATATATATATAGTGACATTATGATTAATTGACTTATACAGAAAGCTAAATCTAAAAATAAAATAAATTGAAAAAGGATAATTGAAATAGGATCTGTTGAGAAACCCTTTGTGTCTCGCTTTGTGTACTGTACACCCTCTCCGCCCCCTCCCCCTTCAGTTCACGACGTTCACATACATTTAATTTTTTTTTTCTTAAATGAAATTTATCACAATTTTTTTTTCTAAGTAGATCTATTCTGTTATAGAGCCTAGTTAGACAGTAGCGTGTTGGAACAAGAATGGCCAAATGTTTAGCAAAACAAGATCGGTTTACGTGTCAATACAAGGAAAAGAAAGTGTACTGACTCTAGTTGGCGTCATAACTAGAAAGTGTACTGACTCTAGTGGCGTCATGACTAGAGTGTGTACTGACTCTAGTGGCGTCATGACTAGAGGGTGTACTGACTCTAGTGGCGTCATGACTAGAGTGTCTACTGACTCTAGTGGCGTCATGACTAGAAAGTGTACTGACTCTAGTGGCGTCATGACTAGAGTGTGTACTGACTCTAGTGGCGTCATGAGTATAGAGCAGGGGTCTCCAAACTACGGCCCGCGGGCCGTATGCGGCCCGCGAGGTCCTCTCATCCGGCCCGCGGAGCTCTTTTTGTTCACGGATAAAAACTTCTGTTGATGATGGCTGAGGAACTTTGCCCAGAAAAATCAGACATGCCTGGAAGAAACTGGCCCCGAACTGAAATTTGATAGGTAATGCGGCCCTCGGACTGAAAAGTTTGGAGACCCCTGGTATAGAGCATGCGGATGTTGGGCTGGGATGTTAGCCTGGTGTGTTGGTACAAAGTTGAAGTCGCGCCATTAAAAACTTGACAGGGAACCCTGTGGTGAAAAGGTCAGAGCAACGTGAGGGTGGTGGAGGCATCGAATACCTTGTGACTTTCACTATTTACAGCGTGACTATGTGAATTATGACCACGGACATGTTTGATGAGACTATCCATAGGCCTCTCTATTTACAGCGTGACTGTGTGAATTATGACCACGGACATGTTTGATGAGACAATTATATCCATAGTCCTCTCTATTTACAGCGTGACTGTGTGAATTATGACCACGGACATGTTTGATGAGACAATTATATCCATAGGCCTCTCTATTTACAGCGTGACTGTGTGAATTATGACCACGGACATGTTTGATGAGACTATCCATAGGCCTCTCTATTTACAGCGTGACTGTGTGAATTATGACCACGGACATGTTTGATGAGACAATTATAGCCATAGGCCTCTCTATTTACAGCGTGACTGTGTGAATTATGACCACGGACATGTTTGATGAGACAATTATATCCATAGGCCTCTCTATTTACAGCGTGACTATCTGAATTATGACCACGGACATGTTTGATGAGACAATTATAGCCATAGGCCTCTCTATTTACAGCGTGACTGTGTGAATTATGACCACGGACATGTTTGATCAGACAATTATATCCATAGGCCTCTCTATTTACAGCGTGACTGTGTGAATTATGACCACGGACATGTTTGATGATACAATTATATCCATAGGCCTCCCTATTTACAGCGTGACTGTGTGAATTATGACCACGGACATGTTTGATGATACAATTATATCCATAGGCCTCTCTATTTACAGCGTGACTGTGTGAATTATGACCACGGACATGTTTGATGAGACTATCCATAGGCCTCTCTATTTACAGCGTGACTGTGTGAATTATGACCACGGACATGTTTGATGATACAATTATATCCATAGGCCTCCCTATTTACAGCGTGACTGTGTGAATTATGACCACGGACATGTTTGATGAGACAGTTATATCCATAGGCCTCCCTATTTACAGCGTGACTGTGTGAATTATGACCACGGACATGTTTGATGAGACAATTATAGCCATAGGCCTCCCTATTTACAGCGTGACTGTGTGAATTATGACCACGGACATGTTTGATGAGACTATCCATAGGCCTCTCTATTTACAGCGTGACTGTGTGAATTATGACCACGGACATGTTTGATGAGACAATTATAGCCATAGGCCGCTGAATGAGTTTTACTATATGCCTCTTGACTAAATGAATTCTAATTTATTTTCATCTAAGCTGAGTCAATTGAAGCCATAAGCTGCTAGACTGAACGAAATTATAGCCATAGATCCATATTGTTTACAGACAAGAACGTTTTTTTTTCCTTCTTTTCTTTTTGCACGGTGAGTCATGTTGTGCTATTGCTCGAACATTCCTTAGATCAGGTAGAATTATTTTCTCTTCTTAATCATCGCCGGCTACACTCGTATCACATACATATTTCTCCAGAATTAAATTAGTTTAAAACTTTTTTTTTTTTTGTTGTTTTAAAACATCTTGCCGGGTTTGTTGTAAGAAATTTGTTTAGTATTTTTCTTTCAGAGATTAAAAAAATATCTAGCAAACATCCACGATAAAGTGATAAGACTCTTTCCACGGCAACAAAGTATTTTATCGCACACGGTGAGTAAGGCGTGTTTGGCTGTATTGCACGTCGGGTGTGCAGTCTAGCGCCGTTTTCTAATCGGACCTGGAGCCTCACATTTCTCCCCCGGCAAATGTTTCCTGCCTGTCTTACCTGTATGCAGTTCGAGCTCTTGGGTAAACATCACGTGACCACCGTTGATGGATTTAATCACAACGGGGTTAAGTTTTGGCTCGAGAGTCTGCTCATAGTCAGCCTGGGGTACATCGTACTTTGTGTACATCACACTTTGTGTACATCACACTTTGTGTACATCCAACTTTGTGTACATCACACTTTGTGTACATCACACTTTGTGTCCATCACACTTTGTGTACATCAAATTCTCTGTAGTTCAAAGTTTGGGTACATCACACTTTGTGTTCATCAAATTTTGGGTACATCAAATTTTGGGTACATCAAATTTTGGGTACATCAAATTTTGGGTACATCAAATTTTGGGTACATCAAATTTTGGGTACATCAAATTTTGGGTACATCAAATTTTGGGTACATCAAATTTTGGGTACATCAAATTTTGGGTACATCAAATTTTGGGTACATCAAATTTTGGGTACATCAAATTTTGGGTACATCAAATTTTGGGTACATCAAAATGAGCCTGCCCAATCTTGGTCTAGTGTGGGGACATGAACACTGAAAGAGCAGAGAAATCTGTCACGTGTCAGCTATTTCAGGCCCCGCTTGATGGAGCGTATTGATTTTGTACACGGCGAGTGTTGTGGCATGTTTGTCATCAAATAGTTGCATGCAGATACAGCTTTGGTCACGTGACCAACACAAACACGGTGTCATTAGTACCCAGCCAATAATGTACCACAGAATTGTTCAATTAGCACCCGCACATTTCCTTGTATTCTTTCCCTATTTCATTGGCTCTAGCGATTGGTTTTGTCAATCCAAAATTTAAATTGGTCGACCGTTCATTTAATCAGCGAATTTATTTCATCGAGTGATTTGACGGTATACCACAGGTTAACTCTACATCTACAGAGCTGTAACTTTTAGTGAAAAAAAAAGATCGTCTGCTAGCTGAGGTCTGTACACCAGGAAGGTGAAAGCACATTGGATACACGGCGCTCAGCTCTGGTGTTGGTAATCTTCCATCTGCTTTAGTCGTAGACTACCCAAACAATCCTTCAACAAAGAGCTGACGGGAGCGGCACACTTTGGCCAGCCTAGGGTTAACTTGTAGCTACCCCCCCCCTCTCCCTTTAACACATTTGCACAGGATCTCTACTGCTTGTATTACTAAATGGGGAAAAAAAAAACATGTTTTAAAGGTCTGTTTGGAAATATAATTTTTTTTTTTAAATTAAAAAAAAAGCCGTATTAAAAGTTATTTATTATTTATTACAAACTAAACTCTCTTTCCCAACCCCTATATATAGCCGTCCTTTCTGCCCAATTAGACAAAGTGCCGACTCTTTGATTCACGTTGCTGTATGTAGCCGAGCGCTGGACTAGGAGAAAAACTTTTCATCTGATTTGTGTTGGCCCACACATGTCTCTGTCAGCTTAAGGACCAGTGGCCCACACATGTCTCTGTCAGCTTTAGGCCAGTGGCCCACACATGTCAGCTTTAGGGCCAGTGGCCCACACATGTCTCTGTCAGCTTTAGGACCAGTGGCCCACACATGTCAGCTTTA